CACCACGGCCAACATCATAATAAACGTTGTTCCACTGATCTGTGATAAGAATTTCAATTATAACGCTAATGCGCCATTAAAACACCGATAAATCTTGAAAAATGTAATGAACTTGTATCAAACGGTAATAAAATTATTTCAATGGTATTTTTTAATTTTGCACCAAAGTGTTAAACAATCTTCAAATATATACCTGTTTTTGCATCAAATTAGATTATTAATTATATCGAGCAATTTCGGTTATTATTTTGAAATTGATTTTATGCTACATAATTAATTTTAGTAGAGTCAAATGTTATACTCATCTATATAAACTTTTGTCAAGGTAAAGTCCTAACTATGTCAAATATATACCTGTTTGAAAGCCACATTTATAATCTAAGCAATAATTATTCTTAACGCCCGAAATAAAAATACTCATGAATTCGTGATCGAGTTCTCATCGTCAGTAAAATGCATTTCTAAATGTAGATGTATTCAAATTAAAATAAATCCGTTAACTTTATATTTCATAAACATTGAACGAACCTAAGTGTCATTTCTTCTCACCTTAAGCATATTGACGACTCCCATAGTGTTCTCCAGCGGCAAAAAGAAAATCAAATTTCCGTTACTCTATCCCTGCGAGGGAGACACCCGCTCTCCCTGCCTCTCGTTGCTGCACCCTTCCAGCGTGAGATGGATTTCTCGAGGGAATGACAAACACGAGGCCCGCATCGCTCTTTATATATCCCGGGGCTCATCCGCGTTTCTAGATCATAGTTTGGTGCAATCGGCAAGATTTACAGCAACGTACGACGCAAGTGTGTCACAAGATGCTGCACGGGATCGATGGAAAAGAGCCGGATCGGCGTGTAAGTAAGCGTATGCTCACGAGCAGATTCGCGCTCTATATCTCGCCGATCGCTGACTCCCGTCAGCGTTGCGCCGCGAATCGTTAACTCGTAATCATCTGGAGCGCCTCTAAATCGTCTCGCGTGGAGCCTTTGACGCGATCCTTGATATATCGCTCCGCCGCGCGCGGTAAAAAAAATATATTCTTAGTCGCGTCTTTTCTTATAAGCTATAGCTGCGCGATGTAAAACTGGAGAACTATATCCCACGTGCATTGAGATCAATGTAAACTCATATCGAGCTGCAAACAGAAATGCAATAATAAGATATATATTTACGTCATGATGTGAATATAAGAGAACATATATCGCGTGCATCTCGTGCTTAATTAATCATGATATACGTAACCACATCATTTAATTGATTTTATTAATTTTTCCTCTATTAATAGAAGAATAAAAAAGTTATCCTCTTTAGCCTAAAAGTCGTCAGATTATAGTAATATTATTACAATATATTAATTACTATATCATTATTATCATATCTTGAGTTTAAAAAATGTCTGGACATTTGTTTTCTCTCTTGTAAGTACCTAATATCCTTTTGATCCATAAAACCTAAACTATTTGCCTTTACAGAAAAAATTTATCGACCTCTGCTCCATGATTGACGCGTTTAAATACCGCCGACATGCGCGTGAAATGTATATCCTCCAATTATAAAAAGCCTAAACATCGCGGCTTTTCCGCGCGTAGAGCTGAGACGATCCGCTTTGACGCAATAGACCTAGTGTGACGCAAACTTGCATAACGTCTCATCCAGCGTGCCGCCGCTACCGTCACCTGCATTCGGTACGAATGCACGGATTGCACAAATTTTCCCCGGACGACGTGGCATGCACGTGCATACGGAGCACCAAATAAGTGCGCGAGAGTAACTTGAGGTAACTCTCTCTATGCGCTCATTAATGTTTCCGATTGATCTTTCTAACGTTGATCAACTTTTATCTTATTCCGATTAATCTGACCGGAATAAAATAATATATTTCTCAATATATATATGATAAACAATATAAATAGTGCTTTTTTGCTAAAGATTTAATACTTTTAAATTTGATTGTAATTAATTAGCAATTATGCAGTTATTTTTTACTTATAATACTTGATTGATTTTAACGATGAATTTTGTTATTATTTCTACATTTGGATTCTTCGACCACACCTCTTGGTAGTGTGAAAGGGTTAAAATACAAGAAATAAAATATGATGTAATGAGAAAAATCCCTTCGCTCGCGATCGTTCGATTACATTTTACATTGAGCAGACACGGCGGACGCAATCTCTTTGTGTGAATACATCGTCGAGAGAAGATGTTTTGTGTACGGCACACGATTCCTCTCTAGATACGCATCTCTCGGTCTCGCGGGCTTTGTGTCACTTGTGTAAATGAGAACATAGTCGTTCTATGTCGGCATACAAATCTCTACACTGCGTCCCGATCGCCATCAATTATCCGCGTGATAATCCGGTACGACATTAAAAATTCGAATCAGAAAACACAAACTTATTCCTCATTTTTTGCCACTGGCAAATTTTGCTGATACTAAAAAATATTAATATTGTTATCACAAATTTATTATATCGCTATTATATTCTAATAATAAGTCAAATTGTTACATTTTCATTGATTCTATTCATATAGTATGCATACCACATTGAATAGTTGATCAGGAATTAAAAAATTGAAGGAAACAAAAAAGTTAAAATAGGGCAGAAAAAACTTTTGAGAATAAGGGAAACGAAAGTAATTCCTCTTAAATCCCCCGATTGAAAAGAGACGGAGGAGAGACATATGTTCATACTCGTTTTTTCTCTTATGCATTCTTCACGCATCTTCGCGCATTCTCGCATCCCTGTTTACATCGCGCAGGCTCGCGTGTAGAAATGCGCCGAGAGTCCGCATATAGCATACACACAATATATGATTCACAAAATTATTCATTCCTTCATTAAAACTAACAGATTAGCGTAAAATAAAAGTAAATTTACAATACAAATGTATAAAATTTATTTGTAAATGCACATTGTCTGTATGTACAGGGGTATGTATGTGTGTGTGTGTTCTTTTAATGCTGTGTGCATGTGTATAAGACGTTTCCTCTGTGTGCACGTAAACAGCTGAAAATGGCCGCAGCGTGGAAACACCGTCCGCAATCGAGATAAATATCTTGCTCCTATAATGGTTAAAGTAAATATCAACAGATTCTTACACACGTGCACGCTGATTGTCTGCAATCTCACGTACACGATAATTCGCTTGATACATTCATACATCAAGAGACTGGTGAGCGATTGGTACGAGAAGCACAGATCTGTCAAGATCATGCATCGCAGTGAAAACTTTTTGATAGTCGACAAGCCCTACGACATGTACATAAATAGTAATAATCCCGACAGAAAGGTGAGAGCATCCTCGTTTCGGGTGGGCGATTAACGTGTATCCGTAAATCGCTCAGGCATTTACCGTTTTCAGAATACTCTTCAGACGGAACTGCGTGAGATGCTGCCAGACCTGGTTAATCCACGGCTGTGCCACGAGTTTCATTTTGTTCACCGGTTGGATTATCCCACGAGCGGCGTCATGTGCATAGCTTTAAATAAAAGGGCGGCCAGAGCGGCGTCGTCCGCCTTCGAAAATCACAAGGTGCAAAAGTTCTACTTAGCACTGGTACATGGTCACATACATGAACCTCACATCGTAATCGACAAACCAATTGGTTAGGAATTGCGATAGCGCGACGTTGCAGTAACAACCGATTTGGCAAAGCCTTATTACCTTGATACCTTCCTCGACCTAGGTGCTGACGTTCGAGAGATGACTGGCAATCACAAAATGTGTACGAACGACAGTATCTTTTGCGACAAGCCACGCAGATCTTACACGACGCTGGTAGTATTGGAACATGGGTTTTGGAAAGGCAAGCCCGCCACTAAAATCTTGCTGGCACCTGGCACAGGTAGACGACACCAGTTGAGAGTACATTGCCATCATATCGGTCACACAGTCATAGGAGATTATACGTACAGCGAAGGCAAAGATATAGAACCTCACAGAACCTACCTTCATTCCCTTAGGTACCATTAACTTAGAGTATTGCTGTTTGAGATGTATATATAATTGTCTCATTAACATTACATTTACTTTCAAGGTTAGTATTGAACTGTGATATTGAAAATATGGATGTGAGAACGGCGGATCCGTTTGATGCCTCTGTATTGTCCGATTACAAAGCGACAAATGTGACAAAAATCTTGGACGAGAATATATTTCGCGATATATACAAACTTATGGAATAAAATTAAGACGTTTTCATTTTGTGGTAGCACAGATTTATTCAGTCGCCCTGACGCCAGATTCGTTCACCTCGAATTGGAAAGTGATCCTCGGCAAGTGCGAGGCCAGCATTACGCAAGCGTATCGCAAGATTTTTCGGTAGAAATATATAGAGGTGGTAATCATACTCGACCATGTGAATCCTAAAGCTGGCTGCTCACTCGCGTCTTCAGAAATGAGTCTGTGCCCCCCTATAACCGCGGAAACCTGGAAAATAGATGTGTCAGCAATGCGATACAACAATGTGCCTGAAATTGCGTTTACCTGGTTAATGCAGATCACGCACAGGTCATCGTTTTTACAAAGTTCATGTAATTGTCGTCCGATGAGCCTCTTAGATTTGCCCTGTTGCTGCTCCTTCCAGTCCTCTACTCTGTAAGGGGCAGCTATCGAATCGATGATTAACAACCCTATTTTACGAGCATTCATCAGCATTGGAACTCTACGTTGCAGACACACCACCAGTTCTTCCTTCAACATTAGCGAATTGACATACGATTAACGGTACAATCTATATATTGCGTTACCCCTCAATTATAGATAATATATTTTAATTACAATGGTGGCTACGTGGCTCACGAATATCACATCTCCATTCACAGGATGAGTTTTAGCTATCTCCGAGTTCTCCAGCAACTGCTGCAACCGTTTTGAGGGAAAAGCAGTCTCCGTGCAAATATATATGGCACCTGTTAACACGTCAGTAATTCCACCATAAACATTTCATAATAGCATAAATATTTGAAGAAGACTCCAGATAGTCAAGAGAGAAAGGATTGAAAGTGTAACATAGAGCTCTATTATCCACTTTAATAATATTTATCAAATTATCTTAAATTCTTTTTCTAAATACATCAAAAGTATTTTAAAATATGTAAAGATAATATTTATATCAAGAACTTAAAGATAAAATGTCGCGTCGCCGGGAAAGTCTTTTATTTGCTCTCAGACTGCTTGGCGTGATATCGGCATGCATTTTTTCCCAGAGTTTTCGAACGTTTACCAGCTCCGAGGCCGCCCGCGGTTATCGGCAGTTGGACGGTGAGACACAACTGCAAAGCCAGCTGTGTCTTCCCGGTGCCGGCGGCGCCGTAAATCTGCGTGATACCCCTGCAAGGTACGCCGCCTCTGAGTTTCGCGTCCAGTCTCGCGCAGCCGGTTGTCAGAAACCTCTCCCTAATTGCGGCCGCGTCCGTCACTGTAGCGTGCATTCGCACGGGAAAATTTATTTTATGCGTAATAAGTACATACATGCGACAGCCGAAATGTCAAAATGTCACTCTGATTCGGTGCTCAGAGAGCGCAGATACTCTTTCTTTTCTCAGACGATACCTAGCAGTTCCTCCATCTCGAAATTGATCTGCGATATGTTTGATAATATCGTATATTAGCGTTTATCACTGGCAGAGCCGGCACTTAGTAAAGCCGTCGTACACAAACTAACGTAAAGTGTATACTCGTCACACTCCATGCGATTGTGGCGCCGTTCTTCGTTCACAGCGAGAGATACATTACAAAACAAAGCAAACAAAATACTAGATATAATACAAAAAAAGTACTTAATGCATGTATTTTATATACAAGTCAAATCATCCTTAAATAATCGTGTCCTGCTGTTTTGTACTTTTTTTTTAAATATGCTAAAATTTTAAGAACGCTCAAGGATCGCTAATAATCAGTGTATACATTGCATAATGTTCTCGTTTTTTCCATGTAGACATCTATTTTCCTCCTCTCGAGGAAACTTTTACTTTACGTTTCTTCACATGCTTTTTTATCTTGACTTTTCGCTTCTCTGCCTGCTGTTCTTTGATTGCCTTTTTACGCGCCTTAAAATCAAATATAAAGATCAATTAGACGTGAAAGTAACAGATTCATAGTGTTGTGCAGAAAAATGAATAATATAATCTTACTTTTCTGCTTTCGGGACTTTCGTCTCTGGGTCTAGCTGAATTTACGAATTTACTCTTATTATCCTCGCTGTCTGTTTCGCTCTCGTTTTCGCTGTCGGAATCATCATTATCCTCGGAGGAGGTATAAGCATCGCTTCCCTCCTTCATACTTTTGCCATCTGCCTTGTGTTTGTTGGCGAGGATCTCCGGTGTTTCCGCGGGCTTAGATAAGTCCGCTTTCAAGCCTATCAGTGTCTTGTAAATCAAATCTTTACCGGATTTCGCGAGATTTATATCACGTTCCACATTGATCACCTACGAAAGGATACACGATAGAACCAAATAGAATATAGAATTATGCGTTACGTGCGCCTGCAGTAATCGCCGATACCTGAGTCAATCTCTGTGGAATGTAAGCTTGCTTGAAAACCGCCTCCTCTATTTCCCGTTGCTGCGGATCTTTCTCTTGATCCGCCTCCTGCATCCACATGTCCAAATACTCGTCCATGTTATTCTCGTTTACCGTTGGATCCGTTATAAAGTCGAACAATGCTTGAAGCGGCATAACTCCCACGTTGTGCTTTTTGAAAAATGCTGAAAAATAAATAATACAAATATACATCAAGTACATTTCTTTTTTTTTTTAACTGCAAGCCGGAACATTAAAATGTCATACCTGTAACATTGCTACAGTCGTTCCTGAGGAATTCCATCGCGTTACAATGATCACGATCTACAGCCTGCGAAACGTCAATGACCACGATCGATCCGTCGTGATAGAGCATATTGTACTCGCTTAAATCAGCATGAACGAGCCTGCACTTGTTGTACATCTTCCACATGATTTCGATACACTCTCTGTACAACGTCCTCGACTTTGAATCCGTAAGTACGGCGTCCTTCAGTTTGGGCGCCGCCCAGCCGTCCGAGCCCAAGAACTCCATCAGCAACATGTGACCGCCGCACAAGTGTGGCCGCGGCGCTCGGACACCGCCCTGCTCCAGACGCTTCAAATTAGAAAATTCCTTCTCCGCCCAGATCTTCACCATCTTGCGCGGATTGTGCAGGGAGTGCACGTGGTCGAAACGGTATTCACCCCTAATGTACTTCTCCCGATTTCTAAACGTCAGGATGGACGTCCGGTATATCTTGATGGCGATCTCGTCTTCGTTCTTCGACCTGGCATAATAGACATTGGCCTCTTTCCCGGTCGAGATGCAACCGTTTATCTCCGCCAGCACTCCTCTCTCGAACAGTTTGTGCAGCTTGTTCTTGATGCGCGAATCCAACACGTTCTCGATCGTCGCGTGATCGCTTTTGTCTTTCGTCCTTATGCGATCTTTGTCAACCCGTCTGTCATTCTCGACCAGCACGTTCGCCACGTGGCCTGGCAACGACGGACCCGCGTATTTCTCCAAATTAATTTTATTCGAATAACGGGTCAGCAGCTTGTGTTTAGGTTGATAATTCGTTACCTTTGTCGACGTGGTCTGAGCGTTGGGCCTCTGCGAGCTCGTTTTCACGACGGTATTCTTTTCCTCGTCCAAATCGTAATCGTTGTTACAAAAATAGTCGTCGTCGTCATCGTCGTCATCGTTGTCCACGTTGTTCGTTTTATTGTCCGTAATGTGCAGATCGGCCACTTTTTTCTCCACATTAAATAAAGGCCTTCCTTTGAATGTGTTCTGCCTGTGTGAAAGACGATAACAACGTAAACAACAGCTTCGAAGACCCAACAGACTTGCAAACAAAACTTTATAAACATTCGTAATCCTCAACTCGCAGCTTTTTGAGAATAAAAGATGAAAGCGAAATACATGTAACTTACGTCTGCAACCGTTCGTCCTCATCAGCGTCGCTGAATTGACCTTCCTCGAAGTCTTCTCCCCGCATGATGGGATGCATCTTCCAATAACTTATTGCACAACGTGTCGCCAGACCACGTGCTCCCAAGGTATGACACTATACCCTTCGCCTCTCGCGGACGACAAATGCTTTCCCTTTCGAAGCAATCGGAGCACGCTATTAAAGCCGTGGCACACGGTGCGTTTCGTTCCGCTGGATCGCATGTAAGCCGTCTCACCTGAAAATTATTTGAGTACTCAATCTTGCGCAATTAGTAGATTCGCTCGCGGTTTCCGTATAATGAGTAATTACCAGCGGAACGGCGTGCGATTGGTCAGTTCCTCGCGTCAGGTTTGGTTTTTAATCAACTCTAGGGAATCCTCGTGTGCTCGTGTCTCTGTCTTGTTTGCGCCCTCTATACGTTTCACGTTTCGTGCCTCGAACGCAGATCGTTCTTTTGTTTACATCAATAATTTAAACTACGAAATTATGTTGAGATGACAGAGAGTAAGCTCTTTTTGACAATTTCCGTATCAATACCGTCCTCTGATACACCTGCAATTTATTTCAACTTCACGTTGATTATTTTTACGTCTCCGCGAAACTGATGTAAATCACGCTTTTTAATTAATCAGAATGTTATTAATTATTATTTATGTTTTGTAATTGAAAACATATTTCCTGAGTTGTTTGCCGCACGAATACAGCGTTAAATGTCATGTCTTTTAATAATCGATGCTAGCATTGTTGTAATATTTTTTAACACAATTGATTCTTGTATTGGCATAATTGGTATTATTTTATGTAATGCTGTACACATATTATAATCAGATCGTATAAATGGGGACGTTCAGAAATATACCATTTTGTAAGCTCTCAGTTTTATCTACTTTGTTCATCTACTTTATCAATAAAGTTAAGAGTGTATAATAAACGTGTAAACCTAACGAATGGTTTTCTAAATTTGGCAAGGACTTGAACTTGACACTTAGATAATACTTGAACATTTACAGATAAGAGTGTCAAACAACTCCGAGTGGCAATATCCTACCATGGAGAGTATCATGCGGTCCATGCAAGAGTGCAACGCTATTCGTTATGCATCTTATAGAACCGCTGCAAAGATGCAGATATTACATAGAGAATTGCACAGTAAGTAATAATAAAGTCTTCCTTATATAAATTTCTTTTGCCGAATATTGCCGAATTTAATTGCTCAAAATTGTTTTGTTTTACTTTAGTGATGCACGTGGAGCTGGAGTTAATAGCGGGAGTGTTCGAACGTCACAGGCTCTCCATCACTGAAAATTGTGTCAATTTAGACCCGAGTGAAATCGAGGACGTTCTTTCCGACATCTATTTCGCGGCACAGAAAGAAAGTAATTTCAATTTTGATGTTGACCTTGTGACGAAGCTCGCCACAAGTTATATCCTGAATACTTTTGACAAGTAAGTTTTTATCTCACCGTATTACGTTAATATCATTGTATCTATAATCTCAATGTAATTTAAATTATCTTTCTTTAAACACATATATTATTAGTAATAATAATTTAACGTTACAGACAAAGTACCGGAAATATTTTAGTGTTCTCGGTAAAAGTTGCGTTGGTATTATTGTGCAGTGGCAAATTACAAGAGAAATATGGATATTTATATCAACAATTGGCCGATCACAATGCGTGTTTATCTCGAGCTGGCTTGCACACCTTATTAACGAATGTCTGCAAAATAACGGAAATGCTGGGGGAAAGTATAGCATACGGATACGAACAGATTCAGTCACACATAGATGCCTGTTTTGTAAAGGTATGAACAGAACTGATTTTGTGTTCATCCCATCTGTTAAAAACGATCTCTATTAAATAATTTTGTCGATACACTTTAGTCTCAAGGTGGCCTCGGAGTTACTGAAGCGGAGTTTGCCACGTGGATCATGCAAGAACCTCCACTACTGGTTTGGATAACGACGTTCAATCGAATAAAATCTGCAGAACATAGTAAGTAACAAAATTGAAAAAAATATTGTGGACTCAAATATGATAGTTAACAATTTTTACTTGCAGTTGTACATAACATCAGATGTTCCTCGTGTAAGGTAACGCCGGTACAGGGACCGAGATATAGCTGTTTGAAATGCACTGGGTATCATCAGTGCCAGGAATGTTTTCTCCTAGGAAAGACATCGAACAAGCACAAATTGAAGCACCCGATTCGCGAGTTTTGCGTGAAGGTATAATGTTTAGATTTCTATTCTCTAACGTGTTAAACATGTTACTCAAAAACAATTCTTTCACAGACTTCACATCGTGAAATTACGAAGCTGATCCTTGAATTGATCAGAAATAAACTGAGATTGTGTCCTACCAGAGCAGTCACGATGGAGGACACAGTTGCAGACGCTGTCAGGTTCGTCGCACATACAAACTGCACTTCTACAATTTTATAAACAATTATGTAATATCCTTTAGTGGGAAAATATATTTCTTACAGTAATGAAACCAAACGAACGGATTACGGCTCGATAAGAAGCACGGTTAAGCGAAAAATTCTGACTGATCCGCAAAAGGAATTACAAAGTATCATAATGCACTTGGAAGAAGAAAATCGACAATTGCAAATCGAGTTGCTAGATATACAGGGCACCAAAGCAGAGAGGCTACAACGTCATCGAGCGACCATCGAATCTCAACTGCAGCGATTGAAAATGCTTAAGGTACGTTAAGTTGAAAATTGTTTAAGCGTTGTTCGCTAAATCTGTCTAATTTTTATAGAAATGTTTATTCACCGATACGGCCCAAGTGCCACAGATCATCACTCGTATGCAAAGCACCCCGATGCTGCCACCCTTGTCGTCCAGATTAACGGCCTTGCCTCTGGAATTCGAATTGAGTCCGATTATCAGACAAGACGGCACGAACCAACAAGGAGTCAAATTACAACATAGAAAAGAAAAATTAATGTTAAATAGTTTTAATACATCATCGCCTATAGAACGTACGGTAGAAGAGAATAACGCCAACGCTCTTTCTTGCGTCGAAGAGGCCTCCACAAGTACTGGATTCGCCAATATGTCAGAAAGCAATCGTATAGAATTAAGTACTTGGATCGGAGGTGAGTACAAAATACATTAACGCAATTAAGAAGAATCCGTAAATTTATATGAACGCTTGTTAAATTAGGAACAAGAAGAAGAGAATTGACTCCAGCTGACAGTGGCTTCTCTCAGTGGTTGGCCGCTGGCAACTCGAACTGCAAGGAAGACAATTACGCGGCAATTAGTAGTACAAATAATGACACGTCGTTGATAGCTTCTCAATCTCCAACTGGCATTCATAGAGACAATACGCCGTCTTCCCTGCAACGCCCCGATAAACACTCGCAACACAGTAGTTTGCAAAATATTCAAGGAGATCTTAATGATATACTAGATAGACTGCAAAATATGGTTGCAAATGACTGCTTTGACGGTAAGTTATACAGAATGACACGAAAATATGTACGTAACTAATGTATGCGCTTTTTGTAGAATCATACGATGGCAATGACAATTGTAAATTGAAACGTGCCACTACAGAGATGGAAGATCTATTGACTGGCCTCATTGAAGGTATGGAATCTCGTAAAAGTAAACTTACTACTATCGTCTAAAGATACGCCTTAAATGTAAACTTAGATATCGTACGTTTAACAATTTTTATATCGCACCGACTGACTACTTTTTCTTTGCAATTTTGCTATAATAATCTTAGGTACTTGTTTTTGACTCTTTTACCGGCCTCTCATGTATAAAACGTGCCATTTTAAATGACGCATTATCCAAAGAAGGAAATCAATAGATTATCTAAATATACTAAGCAATAACGAGTACGAAGATTGCACTCGATATTACACGCTGATAATCAAGCAATATATTTAGTGATAATTGTGAGATATGATTACGACTATTATATTTGAAAGAGTATCTTTTTCATATTTTTTACATACGTATTTATTGTAATATCTGTGCAATCATTAAAGAAACGATCTATTTTGAAGATTTCTATTGATAATGTGTGAAAAATGGATGGGTTTTATGGTTCTACATTTAATATGCACTTTTAAGAACTTAAGAAGTTCTTAACTACTTAAGAACTTGAGTAGTTTTAATTAATTTAGTCTCGATAAGTTAGAAAAAATTATATGAACCTCGTTGTAACGCGAGAAATTGTAACTCCGTCCATTTAAATCCCCTCAATGTAACGAGTAATTTTATTATCGCTATTTGCACATACATAGGCGTCTTGTATAAGACATTATAAAATAAGTGCCTTATAATCTATGTTAAAAGTAATATAAGTCGTTATGTCAATTTTTTTTACGACCCGACTAGATAGCTGATGTTACGATATATAATCTACATAATCGAAAGTAGAAAAATTTGTACGTGCATAATGCCAGGCTGTATGGTACAAAAGTCTTTGAAATTTAATACTGAACAAAAATATATCGGACATTTACTACATGTCCTTCTCTAGATGTAGCGTGTCGGTTAGATAAGTGACTTTGAGGAACCTCGAGAAATGCGTTTTCTCCGTCGGTCGATTTACCGTCCACGCCATCACGCGAACACCGCGCTCGCGCCATCGTTCTATTACGCGTCTGAAATAAAAATTGAATATACATAAACTTGTTCTTACGAATATGTATACGTGAATGAATGAAATTGTGAAAGTCTGAATTTTAAAAGCGTTTACTTACGGATTTACTATATCCTTGTGCAACAGCACAGCCGAGACGCCAACGATATAGTAGACAAAGCGCGGTAGCAGCCACTCGTACAAAATCTCCAAAATGCAAGCTGCCAAATGCTTAAAAGGATTGCGGTACCGTGCCGGGCCGGGTGCTTCCAGACCGGCGTACGACGCTCTCGAGAAAAAATATGGCCTCCAAGCGAGACTCGAGACAATACGCGGCTCTTTCTTCCTAATCTGAACATAAAATTTTTAAAAATATAATTTTTGTTTAAATCGACATAGAGATATGTAACTTAAGTTATTAATCGATGTAATTCGTACCATGTACACTACGATCGGATTGAAACTCGACACGACGCCTCTCTGGAACAATTTTGGATATTTCTCGTACGCGTCTAGAACGATTTGCACAACGTCCATCCTCGTCTCTTTTATGTCTATAATTATTCTTTGCTCGCTGTTCAGGCATTCCTGCAGCGCGTCGTGGAACAGGGCGATCTTCTCGCCTTCGGAAAATTTGTTCCTTTGGCAAAACAATTTTTTCTTTGTTAAAATACTCCGACAATACGCTAGGCGCACGCATTTTTTATACAAAAGCTACAATTAAGTTGAAATATACATATATATAATCGTACTTAAGTGGGTGATTGTAAGTTATGTCAAACTCCTTCAATTCTTCCCATGTCATTTCACTAATCGTGCCCATCTGGCCTGTGAGTCTTTCGATTGTCGGGTCATGGAACGTTATTGGAATGTTATCTTTCGTTAGTCGTAAATCAAGCTCAACTGCAGTACAACCCTTTCCTTTGCTCTGTAAAAAAAAATATGGACAATGCAGCAAGGAATACCATTGCCAAAGTGGGAATGTTTGTAGCACACAAAATAAATAAAATTAGTACGCTTGAAACTACAACGGAAATATTTAATAATTAAACAGGACAATGCATTAATATAAAAATATTTTACAGAAGAGTTCCTCCGCCTTGCATTATTAAGCGACAATGAATATGTTAAACAAGCCAACGGCAAAATCAAGAGGCACACAAAACGTCCGGGCTCCAAACAAAAATTCTTAGATACTATGATAGCTAAGCTACGTCGAGGTGTGTAACTTTACATTTCGGAAAGCCAACAAACTGTTCTCGGGATAATCGTATCCTCCACCACGGTGGGCCACCACTCGCATGCAATATTGCTCTCCGTTACCGTGGTTTTCAGGCACGGAGCTATCTCTGCCCAGGAGGAGCGGATTCACGCCGAGCACCTCTTGCACGGTGCCGACGGGCGGAGGGGACACTCGGGTCAATTTCAGCGCTACCACGACAATCAACGAGCCCCAAACGATCCAGGGAACGGAAAACTCATACAGGACGGTGACCAGCCCGCTCATCGCGGTCTCCAGGAATATCCATAGCAAAGCGCTATTCACGATCAGCTCGAGAACGTGATACATCTTGGACGTCTTGGTGTTAATCTCTCTCCACGTTCACCGCGCGCAGGATTGCGCGTTGCGTGCTCTATCTAATTGTAAAAATCCCCTTCAAATCCCCTCGCCTTGCCATAAACGAGAGAGCGAGGGGAAATCCAGGCGAGTGTTTGCTGTTTGCCGTACTATGTTACCTCAGATAAGATTAATTGCTCCTCATAAAGCACGGCCGAGTCTTGAAAAATGCGCGAGGTCGAGCGCAACTCGTGCGACGAGCATCCTGGCAGGGCGCGTCATTCTCTCTCTCGCTCGCGAATTAATTTGCGGGGTCGATTCGTCCGAATTTCGTACCCTCCGACCCTCCGGCCAAACATCGGCGGAAGCTTGCTAACAATGCTAACAGGGCACGTTTTTTTCTCTTCGAGACGAGATAATTCTTTTTCTCCTTATCTCTCACAATCTCTCGTTCGTTCTCTCGTCTCGGTGGATCGGTCGACGCGCGATTCACGCGATTCACTTCGAGAGACCGTGCCAGCGGCGCACGGTATAAGATCTCATCTCTCTCAAACACGCCTAAACAAAAACAATACTATTCGCGACGACGCGAGTACGCGAACCTTGGGCGCGTCCCTATGCAGCTGCATGATTCAGACGATTCGGCGCGGCTCGAATCCTTCGTCTTCGCGTCACGCGTTTCTTCCCGCGCGAGATTCGCGATTGGCTGATTTCCACTTGCCTCGCGAGCAATGCCTTTTGACAGGAAAGGCATCGGAGCGAGAGAGAGAGAGGACTGTCATTAGTGTCGTGTGTCGTTATCGTTATCTCATTCTCGCTCGAACGGGAGTGACGAGAGCGGGGATTGCGGGGAGGAGTACGAATAACGGGACGTATGTTGCACAATTATGCTGATGTTGCTAACCTTTCGAGTTAAATGCTGAACACGCATATGAATATGGATTAGAAATAAAAAGAAATCGCTGGGGCGAATCGTAACTCAAAATACCTTGCCTTACGTTCCTCATCAATAATTCAAACGATACTCGATGACGAGAAATGCATGATAAGGGATTTTTTTTACGTGCATATTGAAGACCGGACTCTTCGGGGTCGAGCAAAGGTTGCGTTGAACTTGACTCGTCGCGAGGTATTTGAGAGCGAGACGGCGTTCGAGGAACTTCCACGTTAGACATGGCAAGAACGAAATCCAAGGAGCCAGGTGCTCTCTCGAAACTCTACCTGGCGTCGTATAATCTAGGCCAGACGTTAGGGTACGTCAGTTTGTGAATAATAAAGTGCAACTTTTCTCACGATTAATTTTTTTACACAATATTGTATAAAAGGTGTCTTTTTCATCGCTCTGTTCCGTTTGTTACGGAGTTTTCTTTGTGCGTCTTATATTTTTTTTTCTTAAATGTTTTGAAAAGAGATAAATTTTTTTCTTTTATTTTAGATGGAGCTATATATTGTATCAGATTATACAATATTATATCCAGCCTTCTTCCGGTGGTACCTTATGGGATAAGACCAAGCTACTTGTGATTGTTTTTCAGAATGCAGCTTTATTGGAGGTATATTCGACGATATATCTTAGAACTTTTGATTGAATGTAATCTGAGACAGGCAGAAATTATCTAAAACCTTAGGCCAAATCTTGAGCCTTTGATTTTGAATTTCTATTGGAAATATTATCAAGCAGCAAAAGTATAATTTTTTTTAAGAGTTGAAATTAAGACTAAATTTGAATTAAAAATATCAGCAAATGGGGGAAGAGTTTTGTGAAATCTCTCACTATATAGATTAGAAACTTCAAAAGTGTTAAGATTTTCATGTAGATTTATTCCTGAAAGTATAATGAGTACATTACTTATGTATAGTTAATTATAGAAGTTTCTTTTTTCAGATAATGCACGCAGCACTTGGATTGGTACGATCCAATGTTGTAATCACAACATTCCAAGTCTTCAGTCGCGTCCTGGTTGTAGTCGGGGTTATCCTGGCTACTCCTTATACGTATGCTGCTGCGTCCCCAGGTCTTCTGCTGGCTCTCACCGCGTGGTCCATTACGGAAATCATTAGATACTCCTATTATTTTGCAAACCTCATCGGTATTGTGCCACACCTACTGGTCTGGCTGAGGTGAGCTTAAAAATCTCTTCCACTGTTTCAAAAAGTTATTTTTATTTACGTGAGATCACATTACGAAGTGGAAACTTGGGCTTTCAGATATACGTTGTTCATCATACTGTATCCGTTGGGCGTGACCGGCGAATTATTGTGCTTCTATGCCGCCGTAAGGTACGCCAGCGCTAATCCCGACTCTTGGAGCTACATTCTACCGAACAAATGGAACTTCACATTCAGTTACTTGTATTTCCTGATATCAGTTATGCTGTTATACATTCCAGGTGAATATCAAAAGCGTAAAATTACATAGTAAACAGGAAATAAATTATTCATTAAATATTTCGTTTGTTCACTGTGCAGGTTTTCCACATCTTTATATGCACATGTTCGTGCAAAGGCGCAAAATACTCGGTCCCGATACTACCGCGAAGGAGAAATAGCTTGTAAATCCAATACAATAAATATTTTGTTATGCATTTCTAATTCACATTTATATGTATAAAGGAAATAATGAGAGGGGATTTGTAAAAAATATTTTGGATTAAGGAATGGTTATGCGTTTTTGAAAAAACATTAAATATAGAATATTTTGTAGAAAGTATTTATTTATTCCTAAAAATTTTATTACACGTCAAATCATGTAATCGAATGCCTGTCATTGTCAATCTCGGTTTCAGAGGTTGCTAAAAAATGAATTTTAAAATGGTTATTTCATCAGAAGGATTCCTATATTATCGATGCAGCTTAGAATTGTTATAAGCCGGAAAATGGGTTATGCTTTGCGCACCGAAAATATATTGTAGATTTGAAAGATATTATTCAATTTGATTTTATTGTTTCTCATCGATGTGAGTTATGATGTCAAATACCGTCATTTTATTTTTAATATTATTTGATAGAAAGAACTTTAATACTGATAAAGAGAGAGAACTTCTTTAGTAAAGCGCATAACCTTTAAGACTTTCGCGCCTACTGTGTTGTTGTTAATCTACCTGTTACTATTAATCTATCCTCAGATAAAGTACAATGAAGCTCACGCGGGTATTATACAAGCAGCATATAGGTAGGATGATTAGAAAACTGTGGTACGTGAAGCGAGAACGTAAAATAATTGACACCAAGACGGAAGCATACTTGTCGACGTTGAGAATTTCGGTGAAGGACGCCTCGGAAGTAGCCTGTCCGAAACAAGAATTTCCAAGGTACTCTTCTCTCCTGCATTTCTCGCAAGTTACTGTTTATATATCTGATACTAATTGTAAATTGTGTGTTATACAAGGGTAAATTTAGAGTTTCTGAAGCCAAGGCAAATAACGTTTGACGAAACGCATCCTGACTGGAAGGCTCAGGCTTGCTTGGTATTTGAGGATCGTAATATCCTGCAAGAGGGATTTTCTCAAGCACAGATACTGACAAATACTGTGTGTCTGCCGGACAGTTCTTCAAATTATATCCAAGATTCAGATTTAAATCTGCCGGAACATGTAGATGACATAGTAAAAAGGTATATTAAATTAATTTTTGTTTTAAATTAATTTTCTACTCATATATTGAATATTCTTTGGTATTTTTAGGATAATTTATACTTCAAATATATTTGACGCTCATCAAGAAAAATTGCCAAAAAGGAAGGATCCTGAAAGACCTGCGTGGGTGTTTCCTAGAGATTTTGGCATAACCAATAAGAGAAAAATGTTAGTAAGTTAAATATTTAAACAGCAACAGTATATATACATTCATACTTATTTCTTAACAATATTTAATATTTTTTGCAGGCGAAACTTGTCTAGGAAACTTATACAACTTTGCGAGTTATTGTCGGGTCCAGATATCGCGCAGAAACGATGTATTTTGTATGATGGGATAACAAAGTTAAACTTAGGTAGCTTATAGCTTATAGCTTAGTTGGATATTTAAATGTTGCACTGTGCATTCAATATTCCACTCAAACATCACATGTTGTTTTCCAGATAAAGAATCGGACCTCATTCAATTTACCCTAAGATCGGATGTGGCGGTCATGTCGTCGAATCCTCTAAAACCAATAGAAAGTTCTGACAGCAATATGGAAATAGAGCTCCCAAATATACATCCAATGCATCACACCATCGGTTTGAATGCGACAAACATTTACAGAACTGAGGACATATATCGTAAGTTTAATGCTCGTTATTTCCAATATACATATACAATATACTTCTAATATCTAAGTATACTCTAATTACAGCTCTCAGTGCAACATCGCCTTGGATGAACGTTCATACCATCTTTGTGCACTACGACCCCGAGGAAGTGAAAAATTTGACGGAATTAGCTGTGATGCAGAGTCAAATTTTTGGTCGCACTCTGATAAAAACGTACACCGCGGCGGCGTCATGTGCACGGCAGAAGTTCGGTTCATCCGTGAAGAAACTGCCAGAACCCGTGACCGTGCAATGCATTCAATCGGATGGGAAGAACTATCACTTTTTCATATTTCAACTCAATTCGTTGGACGCCAATGACGCTCGTGTGAAGAATTTCTGGTGTCCTCTATCGCCGTTGACGCTTTACGAGAAAGCTGAATATGACGTTGGCAGGCCAGTAGTCGAGGGATACAATCCGGAGGTATTCAGAAGAATACTTGCATTTTACAGGAATGGAAATTAAATGAAATCTGTGAAAATAAATGAAATCGTTAACGGATTTTCTAATCTTTTCTACGAAAAATATTTTTCATCTATATACCATTCAATTGTATACCATTAATCATCGTAACAGCCATCGTTATACAATGCTTAGAAGATTTTCGAAAAGCATGCTTGGTTGCACATGCGGATCGATTTTCTTCGGTTTTACACGAAGGCGATGATCTAACGGTGGTTTTATTAGATTTTTCATAGAGGGGTATGGCTTGGAGTAAAAGTATATATGACACAATGCCTGCAACAGTAATTTTTCATTTCTATTTGTGTGTACGTATCTTCTTTCAATCGCTTACACCCTAACGAAATGTAAGTAATGGAAGAACGGTGCAAAAATAATAACCAATTAAAAATTCGAGAGCAATAGGGTCTCTGTATTATATCATTATCTATTACCTGTTCAGCTGTGAGACGTCTGGACGAATTATAAATCAAAATTTGCCTGATTAGATCGACAGCTTCTGGCGGCGCGTCTTGAACAATGCTCTCCCACGTCGTGCCTTTGTGATAAGGAAAGGTGATTTTGTTGTAGTCCGGTAACGTACTTAATTCGGGCCAGGATTCGGACGTAGGAGAACCCAAATACTTCAAGACGATGGCCAGTTGCTCGATGTCAGTTTCACCCTGCAATTTGCAGATAACAGCATTGCACATAATTTAGAAATCTATTTCAGTCAAGAAGGAACTATTTACCGGAAATAGTGGGGAAGCGTTCAGCATTTCGCCGAATATGCAGCCGATCGACCAAATATCGATCGCGGACGAGTAATAACGTGCCCCGTAAAGCAGTTCCGGTGCCCGATACCACCGTGTGGCGACTTGATGCGAATACGGCTTCGTGCCATCCCGCCACATCAATCTACTCAATCCGAAATCCGCGATTTTCAGAATACCCTTCTCGCTGATCAACAAATTCGCAGGTTTCAAATCCTAAAATGCAATTCCAAACTCTTCGTCACTTTAGAAGCGATTACATACATTTGAATTTCTTTTGAGATAAAAATCCGCGTACCCTGTGTATTATTTTCTTGCCATGCACATAAGCTACACCCTCCAACAACATTTTCATGTATGTTTTAATTTGCGCCAGCGTCAAGGATATCTCGGGATCTCTTAACACTTCCCATAAACCTGTTGGCATGTATTCGAACACCATCACGAAGTCCAGACCGTTCGGGAAAGCATCCAGCAGCTCCACGACCTGCAAACAAGTGGCAATGAATACAAATTCCGCCGAATTGATACGGGAAGGAATCGGTGCACGCTTTAAATACTAATTCCTTTTTATTTAGAAAAAGTCAAGATGTTAGACGAAGGAAAGCATACGTAGGGATGCTTTAATTGCTGCAAACTTTTCACTTCGCGTATGATGGACGCAGGTAGTCCGCCCTCGGTCCTTTTAATCATAATCTTCTTTAGCGCCACTTCCTGATCCGTGGATGTATCGCGCGCTTTCAGAACTAAGCCTTGCGCTCCTTCGCCAATCTGACCGTTGATGACATACTTCTCCATGTCCTGTTTTGTTCAGAAATTTATGTTACCAAGATTATGAACAATACATTATTACTGTTAATTATATATAATAAGCAATACATTAATCAGCGATTTATATACAATTAACTATATATAATTAAATGTTTCTTAAATAATTAAAATATAGATACGGTCAATTAATTATTATGCATTTATTATAATTATCTAAATAGATGAAATATGATTGATGGAAATGTTGGAAATTATATATTTCTCACGGCTCACTTTTTAAGATTTTTATCAAATAAAATATATGAAAAAAAGATTAAGGTTCATCTCTGAGCGTATCTTTTAAAAATATTGTAAAAAGAAATTAATTATCGGTACGCGATATACTTATTCAGTGGCGTGTGCAGTAAGCGTGCTTTACAGTTTCCATGGTTACCAGTGTGATGCACTGTATTATCATGTGTTCTTTGTAGCTGAACCTTTTGTACCTTTCACGTCTTTCCTCTCTTTCTCTCTAAACGTTTAATTACACCTATTTATGTTTTACTCGCACTTTCCAATGTCGTAAACGAGAAAAGAGAGCCGAAGAGCAGTTTGAGGAGTTGAAACGAACGGGTATTGTCGGGTATCGTTATCGTGATATCGTTCGTGGCGCATGTGCGACTGTCTGTCAAAGTTATCATACGTCTTATCATATTTTACGATACGCGTTACGATTAGCAATTAGCATGCTTCGCAGTCAGATACGCGGAGAGAGTAATTAATTTCCATCAATTGTGACAGTCTAGAGAAGGACGGTTGTGTATCTAAGGTTGTTTAACGTACTTTCTGTAAATGGTACACGTATAAGTCAAGTCACACGGGAAAAGAAACGCAGGTAGACGGAGTCAAAGCGAGAAACGACAGCGTCGAGCAACGATGAAGCAACAGATAGTTGACTCCAAAGCGAATCCGGGTGCGACCGGGGAAGCTGACGACTGTCTCTTCGAATACCTGCACGCCGAGCTGGTCAATTACGTTCTGAGCAGGTCGTCTAACGCTGCAGTGAGTAATCGGCCGTGAGAATGCTAATCGGAGCCCACCTAGACGTACACGGAGTTTTGTTAATTTACCCCGCAAAAGAACTCACCTGATTTGTTGTTTCCAACAGGAAGGCGAGGAGGAACTCTCGCGTTTAGAATGGATGGGGTTCAGCGTCGGGTACAGAATCATCGAACGGCTGACGAGGGAGTGGAGCAGGTTCAAGGACGAGCTGGACATGATCAAGTTCATCTGCACGGACTTCTGGTCCAGCCTGTATCACAAGCAGATCGACAATCTCAGAACTAATCATCACGGGGTGTACGTGTTGCAAGACAACGCCTTTAGGCTGCTGGACAAAGTCGGTACGAGCAACAGCAAGCAGTACCTCAAGGAGAGCCCACGCCTGCTGGCTTTCACTTGCGGCCTCCTCCGAGGTAGTCTAGCGAACCTTGGTATTATTAGCACCGTTACCGCGGAAACTACCACGTTACCGAGCTGCAAGTTTCACGTTCAAGTTCAAAAGATTTAATAGCCATTCGTGGAGCGACTTGGGAAATAAGAAGATACACAAGTGTAAAAAGGTACATATATTGCAAAATCTCATATGAGATGCAAGGAAATATAATAGATATTCATCGTACGTCGTATACTATTTTTATTGTATTTAGTGGAAAGAAAATAAATTATTAGTATTCCCGGAGATGAAATAGTTCTGATATTCGTCTCGTGCAATGTATATCTATATTTGTAAATTATGAACCGATTCCAGAATATATTCGAAATAAGGTATTAATGTATATTTATATTTATAACAATTTCGTAGATCTTATATATTTTTTTTTTATTTTGCTCATCTTGGATTTACATTGATTCATAAAATTACTGCAAAGATAAAAAGTCCAGCTTAAATGCTTAAAATGTATAAGTGTTATATAAGAGACATTAAGAAATATTATATTACTAGTTTAAAAAAAGAGATCTAGATAAATGTATAAATTCTACATTGACAACTTTTATACGTCATATAAATCATTGATCCAACGTACACAAATGTAAGATAATATTATAGTATCAAAATCATAAAGGAACGTTATGATGTAATTAGTCTTAATTATCCGACTACGCAGCGCAGGTGACAATCTTTTACTTCATCACATGTAACGTGAACAAATTTTATACAATTTCATTATTTTTGCGGTCATTGTCCTTAGTGATAAAATTAAAAATATCGTTTTGACTTGCAAGTCCAATTAAAGTATTATCGTCGTTTACAACCACGACATAAGATTCTTGAGAAAGAATCCGCGACACTTTACCGAGTGTAGTTGAAGCTGTGACCTTCGTAAATTGCTTGATCATGACTTTCTCAGCGCAATCATTTCGATTCACCGTACCGGAGATTAAATTGGAATAAAGTGCGTCCAACGTAACAATGCCTTCCACGCACATCTTCTCGTCGGTTACTAACAATTGCCGTACGTGACCAGCGGATGTCAAGAAATCCACAGTATTTTGACACGACATCCCTTTTAACAAAACGTGCTTTTTTAATGGTAAATCCGATATCGGTAGGTTCCACCACCATTTGTTCGCTTCTATCGAAGGTTCAGACGGCTGACAAAAGAATTGAATTGTAATTTAGTAAATGTATTCAATAATATTTGAAATAAACTTAAATGCGTAACAAGTAGAGAAAATAACTTTACCAAAAAGTCTCTGGCTTCCATCCATTGATCTGACACAAATTTGGTCATGTAATTTCTTATACTGTCTGGCAAAAGAACGACCAAACGCTTATCCGCAGGGAGGTCTTTAGCGATTTTTAACGCCGCCGCGAGTGCCGCACCGCTGCTACCGCCGCAAAGCAGACCCTCCTTGCTAATCAATTCTCGTGCCGCTTTTAACGATTCGTGGTCTTCGGTTTTCATCCACACATCGACCACACTGCGATCTAGAACTGTAGGTATGAAGTCATATCTACATACGTAAATAAAAAGAAAAAAATTATTTTTATTTTATACGATAATCGCATCAAAAATTATATTACTTTATATTCGATGTCTAGAATATGTATGCACACGCACACTTCTATTACATACCCAATTCCCTCTACCTCGTAGAAACCAACACCGTCCCCATTCAATTCAGATGGTTCCGCCAAAATGCTGCCTTTAGGATCCACCGCGATAATTTGTGTACTAGGCGACAATTCCTTCAATTTTCGTCCAATTCCAGACACGGTGCCTCCGGTACCGGCGCCAATTATCACATAATCTATATTGCCGTCGCATTGCTCCCAAAGTTCTGTCGCCGTATGGTCGTAGTGTGCCAATGGATTACCAGCGTTTGTATACTGGTCTAAAACAATACTATTGGGTATCTCTCTCTGCAATTTTTGAGCAACACTGATATGCGCTTCCGGGCTGTGCCAAGCGGCCTCGGTCGGCGTTCTGACTATTTCCGCACCGAGAGCGCGAAGCACATAGACTTTTTCATTAGACATTTTCTCCGGCATCACAATGATGCACTTGTAGCCCTTGACCGCAGCGGCCATCGCTAAGCCGATGCCAGTATTTCCGCTTGTTGGTTCGATAATAGTGTATCCTGGCTTTATCAGACCCTTATTTTCTGCATCCTCAATCATTCTGTCCGCTATCCTATCTTTGACAGACCCACCGGGGTTTGAGAATTCACATTTGGCATCTACAAGATAAGAAAGTTTTCTTAGGTCAGATTTTCATCTGAAATTTTTATCGTTCTGTAAAATATAAATTTTTTCACTCACACATTTCACATTTGATCCCGTGTAATTTAGGAATGTTGTTAAGCCGAACGAGAGGCGTCTGGCCAATTGTGCTTAAAATGCTTGATAATATCTTCTTACGGTTTGGTACACTAAGAAATGAAAAAAAAATATAATTGACACAAAAATTGATTATCCGTATACCTCAATATAAATATAAAACGCAAGAAGATCGAAAGCTGCGTAAGTTGTGACACACAGATTTAGTGATAAAGCCTAAACATCACTCTAACACAAACAACTATTACAACTGTTATTAACATTCATGCTTATGATAGCTATCAGAGTCATCAGAGTATGAGATCATCAGAGTCATGCTTATTTGCCCAGTGCTCATTCTAGTTTGTGGCAATATTTGTTTTGCAATGTCATCTGTTCATTTTTGTGATTTGTTACAATGTTGATTACAATGACCACATATATGTGGTCTACTGATAAGCTTTGATATTCTTAGAACATATTGTGAGACCTCTCGTATCTCTTAAAATTAGTACAGGGCTGTAATGTATGACGTGCCATGTGCTATTACAAAATGACAAAGTTGTAAACCAAATGGTCAAGATAAAAAGGATTTAAAAAAACTCTTCGTTCTGTAAATCTTCCAGTTATGGCAAACTCACTCCGTTCGTTTCGTATGTGGCGAATTTTCCCCGTTCGCTTTCCACGTACACTTAGACGGTCGGTCTGGCCGCATCAGTTCCATTATTACAATCCTTCTCCTCGATTATTAATCAAACGAAAATTCTAGCTGCAACAAATTATAATAGTTAAATATATCCCAGATACTTAAAAGTGCATCTTAGATATTTAAATACATCTTGGATATATTTAAATGTATCCTAAATACATTTAAATATACCTTGGTAATTTATTTTAATACATTTAAATCTATCTTATCTCAAGATGTTTTAAAGCTCACGTTACAAAGTTGCAAAAGTTGATGCAACTTAATAGCAAAACGTAAACTTCAACGTGGCAATAAAATCACTTCTTTTGCAATTTTTTTTTCTCGTTTGTCTTGCACAATTAAAACCGCGAATGTTTCAGAGATAAAACTATATAGAGGATGCAATTACTCAGATAGCCAAAAAGGACCTTGCGAGGTATTTGTTACAAACTTCGTCGGCAGATACTTTTGCTGGCAGAAACAACGAGGGAATCTACTAACAGAAAATGATAGCGGATCGATTGCGGAAACCAAGCGGACTCTGCCATTTAGTAACTATATTTAAATGATACATTCGATTTACTTACCGTAATGATTTTACCTGCGTTAATGATGATAATGAGATTGATTTACAAAATTGGAATGTTGATTCTTGCCGGGCAACAAAAGCACGAGGTTTATCACAGAACGTCAGACTCGAAGCACAGAATACAGCTGTAAGATAAAAAGAGGAATCAAATGTAGAATTCTAGAATGCACCGGACTCCGTATCACAGCCTCGTCTCGTCAATCGCACGGCCTAGTCTGGAGTATACTGAACTGAAAACCGCCACGCTGCACGCACAAGTCCCTCATATCCCCCTTGCGTGCCTCCGGCATCTCCCGACCTTGAATTCGGAATCGTTCGATGGTGTGAGAATTTTCAAGCCGATCGACAAACTCGACGATCGGTTAAGTATGTCGCTATTGATATCCGATTGTCCGTTCGTGGTATTACCTACAGCCATCAACCTCCGTTGTTCTCAAACACACGCTCTACTCCCCGTCGACGGCGCTCGGTTTGACTTAACCGGCCTAACCCGGAGATCAGAGATCAACACTGATCGACACGTGAGATCATGCCGCCGAAGAAGAACGCCGGTGCCGCGAAAGGAAGCAAGAGCAAATCCTCGGAGGAGAGCGGCGGTGGGAAAGCGGAGAAGAAAGGAGGGAACTCGGTGAAGGTATTTACACATTTTGACACTTATCGCTCGTCTACAATAGCCGCAAGAGTATATGCGGTAAGACGTAAGCATCAGTAAGCTATTGACTATAAATGGGATTTTTACAATTCAAGAATAATCAACTGTGGTTGGTCAATAGCTTACTGCTCACGTCTTACTGCATACTTTTACGGCTATTGTAGAGACGAGCCATTTTACAATACATTTTAAATTTATCCTGGGAGCAATGTGCGTGTCACACGTATGTCATTTTCTATCAATGCGGATTAACTTTAATCTCGATTTAACTTATTTTTTATCTTTTTCCAGTTCTAAGATGATAAATAGTAAGTTAAACAAAGATTACAAGTTGATCTACATTGGTAGAAATGGACAGTAATCCATTGTTCAATAATTGATTGGTCCAGCTACAATTGTATATAAATAAGGCCTGTTCTTTTTTCAGCTGAACTTCCTGTACGATTTATCTTTTCGCTTTTTCTTTCCAACATGAAAAGAAAAAAAGAAAAGATGAACCGTGCAGAAGTTTAGCTGAAAAGAACAGGCCTATAGACTACTGTTTTCGATGACTGTCGTTTGATTTTATACGATTATTCCCCTGGCCACAGGTTAGACATATCTTGTGCGAGAAGCAGTCGAAAATACTGGAGGCGCTGGAGAAGTTGAAGGCTGGTCAGAAGTTCAACGAGGTCGCGGCGACGTACAGTGAAGACAAGGCCAGATCTGGGGTAATGTGAAGAATATACTTATATTCTCTCTTGATACATGAACAATTGGGAAGGTAAACGTGTTTAAAATGTTGCATTTTGTTCGTTATCTTTAAGGGTGATCTCGGTTGGATGACGCGAGGTTCCATGGTAGGACCCTTTCAAGACGCTGCCTTTGCGTTACCAGTTTCTAGCCTGGGGTCTCCGGTTTACACGGATCCACCGGTGAAAACAAAGTTCGGGTATCACATCATAATGGTGGAAGGTAAAAAGTAGTCGGAAAAGTAGTTGCCCAAACTTTTTTAACACTTTTGTGAAACTTGTTATACAATCCGATTGAGTAAATATATATTATATCATTTAAGTAATGATTTGTTTGATATCTGTGATATTTATTATACTATAGATAAACGCGTTTTGTATGTCTTACATTTTACGTGAAGAAAATCAGGGCTTGCATAGGTATTATAACGATACATGTCATAAATTGATGCGTAATAAGTAAAATAATGTTTTCTAATAATAAACGAATCAAGTTATTTATTATTCATGAATTTATTGCTATATTGCTATATAGTAATAATGAATATATAATTAGTGTAATATTTTATTTTAGGAAAATATAATTATATATGTAACTTTTCGTAAACTAAAGTAACCTACAAATCCTGAACTGCAGTCTCTATCTATTAAATATAATTTTCCATCTATGATTATATCTAGGAATATAAATAGTGATATTTCCTGAAGGCAACATAAAATTTCTCACGATTAAATAATTCGTGTTTCTCGGGCAAATGAGAGAGTATGGAGGTATTAAATATTACAATAGTAATAAATAAGATGTTCTATATACTATTCAGTCGCGTTCACTGGCGTGCCGCATAGATGCGTTTTCGTTGTAACTTTATAGGTGCTTAAGCCCGTTCAAACAAAGGTAAAGCTATCGGTCCTTGAAAATTTTTCTTCTATTACACACGGATATTGGGATTGGTGAAGCGGACATATTTCAGGAGATTCTCATTGTCCTCGCAGACCCACGGTTTCTTATGATGACACGCCACGTCGTGCCAGTTCACTCCATCGTTGTAGAATTGATTGAGGACCGCAAGGCAATTTTCGGGAGCACCGCCCTGTATGGCCTCGCGATTGTCAGGTTGTGGCTTGCCGATGCTAAACAAAACGTATTGTCCAAAATGAAAAAAATCTTGCAAGGTGCCATGCACGCATCACTGTTGCTTCTGTCATTAAATATTCGAGGAACTTGAACCTTGACTATTGACAATGTGCGTGCGTGCGTGCAGAGATTATTGATTACAGAGCAGATAATAACAGGGATTCGCGATGAGCGGATAAAAAGAGATCTAATCACAACCGTTCGACATCCTTGGTCTCAATAATGAAAGTAACACTTACACTCTGTCAGCTTTGATATCTTGATGTAAGCGTTCGAATGGGAACGTGTTATATTCGCGTACAAAATTACAGGCCGATGTGCGCCGCGAACGTGCATTGTAATACCATTGAATGACAAGTCTTACCCGCCGCTCTCGGACCAGTCATTTTGACTACGATCGTTGGTCGGCGCGAGCTTCTGCAACTCGGCGGTCCAGAACCAGCCGTTGATATGAAGGGGCTGCAGATCCGGCCGGTCGCAGCCTTTGAAGTCGCAGAGGCGACCGGAGGTCCAGATATACTTCACGTTGTCTACAAGAGAAACGTTTAATTTCGTCATCCTTTGTTTTTGCTTTCACAAATACAGGCTCGATCTGCAGAATCATGCATACCTTGAACGATGCGGCTCTTGATGAACTCGTTCTCGATGGAGGTCTCCAGCGAAACTAGGTCCATACAACGTTGTCGGCAGAAGTTTCTAGCTGACAGCCAATCCACCTCCTGCCCGGCTGTCCTCGGATCGGCCCACGAGAAGTAATAGCCTTTTCCTTTGAATCGTTGATGGATAGTTCCTGCGAAAAATCGTAATTAGAAGATGAATCAGATAGATAACAGACAATAGACCATAATCTTCATTAATATCTTTGAACGCGAGAGGTATGTGGTATGTTCAAGAAGAGTCCGGAGGTCTCTCGCTCATTCCCGGAGTGAAAGTTGCGAAATTAGTGTCAGTCGTGACTGCGACCTCGGAGACCACAGTCACGACCTAGACATTGGCACCCGCGTAGTATGCTGATTACATCGTCACTTTCTAAATAAAGAAAAAGAAAGTTTTCTATGAGGTGTGTCCTGGAACGCGTGTGGACAGGGCTACGCCTAATGAATGAATAATCGATTATCAGTTCCGCGCGTGACACATTTTTCCGGCTTTGAGAACAAAAAGCTCGTCGATAATGCTCCAATCGATAATTTTGTTTTGGAATTCAATTCCTTTACTAGATTTAGATTTTTATGGGAAAAAAAAGGAATTATCTTATTTTAGTGGAGACAAAAAAGTTCGAGATAAAAAACAAGAATTAATATTTTAAAGAAAATTCAATCTTGTATTGGGGTACATTCGATAATATTCTTGAAAGCAGGAAAATTCGATTGATAACTCTTATCTACTCTCAACAGTACAGCTCAGAAAAATCTGGAAACTACTTACAATTAGCTTCAAAAGATTTTCCTGACATTTCCATTTCAGATCTGAGATCAGATAATATGCGATACAATGTTCTAACAGTGATACATTATCATCGCTTCGACTCAACCGAAAACGATGAACGTGAAAGTGCCAACCGACATTCCGTACTACTTACAACGGATACGCGAGGATATTTCCAATTCAAATGCGTTCGAGTTACACCGCGCCGTCGGTGTCATCGTCACACTTTCTATAACGAGCGTGAATACCGAGGAAGATGCGCGAGATGTAAGTCTTGAACGATCACGCATAATTAGTGACGGTATATCGATGTAAGAGGATTTGCGATAGACGGGATGTAAGAGGATGGCCGAAGAGTCGAGAGCGACGGTAAACAATGACCTCGAAGCGTGCCGAGGCGGAGTAGGAAGTAGATAATGCAGACGGAAGAAAAGAATCCCGTCATGGGATCACGGGTCACGGCCTCTCCTTAATCAACAAATATTGAAAATACTTTCTCTAATTCGAGGTTCCCTTGGATAAATAGCCGAAGAAAATGATGAAGAAGACGAGGGAAACAGGAAGAACTCTCTCCGGCGTGAATCTTCGAGCACCGCGGGAACATATTATTTATCTCAGCGGAAGATTTTAACAAAAGGAAGATTCTAAGTGACCGATTTCCACGACCAATCTAGTCGCATAAAGTTTAATAATGGCAGTAGTAATTTCCTGCATCAGTCGAGAATAATAACGGCATTAAATTACCTTTAATTTTTACAAATTACCTTTAATTACATTTAATTTTTAAACAGTGATATGATTAAAAAATAATTTTGTACGACTAATTTTATTATTTTCTTCATTTCTCTCTTTTTTTCTTTTTCTTCTCAAACAATATAAAAATTTTAGGGATATTTTAAAATTTTAGGATGTCCTTATATAAACTGTTGCTTGGATAGATCTTGATAAAAGTAACGATACATAAATATGATGAGACTTACTCTGCGCGCAAAGTGTTGGATTCGGCGATTCCAAAAGCCGAGTACCGGGTAGTGGACGGAATTGGGCGGAGGACAACGTCACCAAAGCAGCAAGAAGCACAAAGGTTATCATTTTTTTTTCTTTTTTTTACGCTATGGCCACTAAAAAAAAATACGAAATTAATATTATGTAAATAATTTAATTAATTAATATTATGTAACCAATTATGATAGTTAGCGAGATTTATTTTAATTAGAGAAATTTAATATTTTTTTAGCGTGATCGTTAACGCTTTCTTCATTATCTATTAGATTTAAATGCCTGAACTTTCGTGAAGAAGCGACTCTCAAACCGGTTCCACGATTCCAATATTATATAGGGTGGTACCTTACGCCCAGCCTTACTCTCTAGATATAATATACTTCAACTATGTTAGTAAATATTATTTTTCTAACGATTATATTATTGTGAGAGCGTTTATCTTATTTACGAATTATTTTCCTTGCTTTGTCACGCGCTTGTGTGTCGCAAACAATGTTAAAATATAATTCCGTTCAGATCCATTCGCAATAATTTTATACATATATATAAACGAGTAATATATAAACGAACAATTATACGCGAATCAAATACAAGAAAATATAATGTTTTTTTTTATTTTAATCGCGGATTAACTCATAATTTGAAATTTAACGTTTTATGTATAGAAACCTTGTTGTAATCTAACTTCTCTTCTCAAAATCTGACCTTAATCGTATAAGATCATCCGTTGAACTTACCTGATACAATCAGCTGCAATCGAGTATTTTTCTTTCCGATCTTATCTATTTCCTCTCTGAACCCGTGATTGGTTGTAAGATTACGTTTAACTTCACGAAAGAGATGTCAACAGGACACTATGATATTATCCCGCAGACGGTCTACGAAGAACTGCAGTGTCTTCTTGGCAGGCACCCCTATATATACACAATGAGGACACATCGTGTCAGTACTTTTACCACCGGGCGAACCACGAGCGACGGGTTTCGTCCACCACGAAGACCTCGACGTACGTTTCGTGGATCGCTCGCTCCCTCCCTCCCTCTTCCTCTCGTACAAGGAGGGTCATGCTCGGGCGTGGAGTCGTCGCGTTATTTCCGACGGTACTCCGAGTGATGTTCAAAAAAATCACGCATTCTCGATACACCTTTTCTCCGAAAAATACGAAAGATTTAAGAGAGCCTTGCGTTAGAGGAGAAAAAAAAACTTTCCCGCCGTTTGCCATGTGCGGCGACGATCGCCATCGATGGACATGAAAGCGGAGAGTACGCGCGATGACATTTCGTTCCTAGAACGTATCCCTGAAAAATGAAGTGGATCGAACAGTTATTGCAGCCGCGAAGGAATATTAAAACCGTGGAAACGTTGCGAGCGTCGTAATTTGAATTTGACATGGTTTTTCGAGCTCTTCTCGCCTATTTTCTGAAACATGATCATTCGGGTGCCCGCTTTCGATTTTCACTTGTTTGCGAGAAGCTGATTAAACTGGGCTATAATCAAGCCTATTATAGCTCGTGTCCACAATTCCCGCAATGACCACAGTTACTTTCTAGAAAACTTTGGAAACGGAAATGTTTTTACGTTTAAACGGAATTCCATGTACATTCTGGCCTGACAAAGGACTATATTTTAAAGGGCTTCCACAAGAGAGAATTCAAAGACAATTGTCGTAACGTTTCTGAAATATTTCGAGGACATCTGTTGCCGGAACGTATAAAGCGTTTTCAGGTTTTAAAGAAATAATTCATCTTCGAAGGTCGATACTTTTGCGCGGATTCTGTGAAAAGTGGAAAGTAAAATCTCTGTTTGTCGATGCCGAGTGAAAGGGGAGTACACGAAAGCATGGAAATTGAAATAACGCCGCGACAAAAGTTCTCGGTAGAAGGAAAAAAAAAAGTACATTCCGCAATACTCGCAAATATGTGGAATGGATTATTAACGGCTTGTTCGGCGCGATCGTATATTTGCCTGTTTGCTCAGGACGGGGCCGTTTGACTGCGTTTGACACGTGGACACATATATCGATGACTTTCCGAGAAAACGCGAACTTTCGCTAACACGCCCGTTGAATTTTAATTAAGCGGTTCGTTCGGACATTTTTTACGGGTCTAACGTGATCGTGAGTCGATCACCAATGGCTCACACCAAGTATCGCTCGCTCTCGTCCTTGTAGATCCTGAGAATTTTTCCTCATGTGAATGTTTGCAAATTTCCACTCTGAAAAAGTTCAAGTTTTTAGAATCAGAATAAAAATATATTACTGTTGAAATTGAGCAGCTCAAAATTAGACGCTATAATATTAAAAACAAATAAATTATTTTCTTTTAATTGCTTGAGATTTAAACTTTTAAGAATGTTGACGTTAAGTACGTTCGTTGTCGGTCAATATCTTTTATTATTAAATAAGACTGACACCGTTTGTTTTTCCTTTGTCTCGACGCGCTCAGATGTCGTAACACCTGGTGACTTCTATCAACGTGTAAAAGGGAGAAGCGGCATGCCGATAACGCTCGTTCGACAAATCTCTTTGTCCCAGCAAAGTATGGATTTAACGAAAATAATAAAATAGAAAAATCTCATTATATACTTTTTTGTTGGAATTGAAACAAAAGGACAAGGACAAAGAAAGAAAGAAAAACATACGTCTGCCAGAGTTCATCTATAAATTTCTACGTTTAAATGAATACTCGCATCTCATCCCCGTTCTACCAAGAATTATTAATCTTCATTTAATGAATATTATCGATTAATTAGCTTTCCCGGGGCGCCGTTTAATTTATCTCACTGACATTCCGTCCAAATAAATCTTTACAACTTCTCGAACGGCCATGTTTTAATTTTTCGAGACACTCGCACGATCACGCCCAACGTTACCGACCACCGAGAAGCGCCGGCGCCAACAATACCGGCACGCGCCGTGCGCGCTCCGAAGTCCGATGTTTTTTTTTTCACCCCAAACAAACGCTGAAACGCTCCGAGTGCGCCAAAACGAGTGGTGCATGTTTTCGTGGAGCCGCTACGGGGTGCAACGGAGTCGGGAGTACACAGACACGCTTGGCGCGGGGACGAGGACGAGGTAGACTCGCCGTGCGAGTCGATTGCAGTCGATTGAACGGCGCGTCTCGCGAGCAACAACTCCGGCCGCCTCTCTCTCGTCGCCCTCAGCGCGCGGCTTCTTCGACCGTGGGCCCAACATGTCCGCTGCGATCCGGATCGGCGTTGTCCCCGGGATCGTTCCGCACGCGTGCGGCGCGACGCGATGATCCGCGCGCGAGGCACGCGGCCTTAGGGGGTGAACGCGATGCGTCCACGGGCGACGTCGACGACGGCGTACGACGACGACGATCGCGGCCTCGCGCCTCGCTCACCGAGCGACGACGATGACGGAGCCGGAACTCTGCCGGTTGTGCGCCGAGACCAAGGAGAATCTCATCGGGATCTACGATCCCGAGGGCCACAAGCTCGCGATCGAGGCCAAGATCGCCAAGTGTCTGCAGATACAGGTATATCGTCGCGGATAATCTGTGAAAACCATCTGCCTGGTTTAGGGAAGAACGGAGTGTCTTTCATTCAACCACACACAGAAAAGACATAATATTTTACGTATTAACTTCGTGATTAATAACTACCTGTTATCGAGTTTCAAATTCTTTGAAACAATGTAAATATTTGGGTTGATGTACACTTGTTTATCTTTGGGAGCTTTCCAGCAAGTGATACAAGTCGACACAAGCATCGTTCTATCCTATCTTTCTTTTTTGAGTAACAAAGATAAAACGATACTTGTGTCAATTTGTGTCGCTTGCTGGAAAGCTCCCTTTATTTCATTACATTTGTGTATTCAAAGAATCTAGGTTCTCTAAAATACATTTATTTATTTAGTGCTTTAATAAAAAAATCGCCTGTCAGTTTAGAGATAAACTTTAATTTTGCAATATTCTTGTTACATTTAAGAAATTAGCATAAATCTTGCAGAGGTAAATTTTAAATTCATTTTCATCGGAATAATAAAATTATATTTTTTACACGTTAGAAAGTAGCTTACTTGTAGGCTTAATTATCTTACTTTGTATATCTATTCCTGATATACTTTTATCTGCAATGACTGTTTTGATTGTGTAGGTTCTCATGACAGATGGCTTGCCACTTACGGTTTGTATTGACTGCTGTGATTCATTGAACCTGTGCAGCGAGTTCTTTGAGAAGACCAATCGAGCACAAATATCTCTAAGACAATTGCTGACAAATCCAAAGTCCGAGCCACAACCGATCGAGCCGAATATAGATTATGTCGAGGAGACGATAGAGTTTCCAAAGAACGAGGTTAACAACGAGGAGATGGTCCAGTGCCAATTACCTGGCAGTTACATCAACGAGACGGTCAATATTTTAAATACTTCTTACTTCATCGAGGGATGTGCGAAAAACGAGAATACCAAAACTCAGGCAATGCAAGATAATGCAAAACAGAAGAAGTGTAAGATGCAGATAAAGAAAAGCTCTCCTAAACAAACTAAGAAAAAGTTGAAGAAAAAAGGCCAGATGCAAAAGACGGAAGAGGAGTCCGAGCTCCATATATCTTCTGAAATAGACATCAAAGAACATCCTGTTCCTGATGCAACTTTGGAAGACAGCGTTGAAATCGTAGATAATTATATGCCAGGTAAGATAGATTCATTTATAAAAAATATATTTGCTTTTCATGTTTATTATTATTATTATTATTATTATTATTATTATTATTATTATTATGTACGCATACATATAATCGATGGCTATAGTTTATCATAGATCTAATATAATATATATTTTTAAAGTAGAGACAGAATCAAACTTAGAAATAAGAGAAACACGAACGGTGGAAGCAGCGAAGCATGGAAGAAAAAAGGCGGAAGGTCTAGACAGATATCCTTGGTTATGCACAGATTGCAATGACAAATTACCATCTCTGGAGGCATTAGAGGAGCATCATGAAACGGTGCATAATCAACAAGCCAAGTATATGTGTGTGCAATGTTGTAAGGTCTATGATAAGTACTATGGATTCCTCACTCATGTTAAGAGGCATAAGAATAAGGCGAAGTTCAGGTAAAAATCATTTGCTGTTGTGCTACTACATATATTGCGAGATCTTTGTGATATCTGATGTATATTTGTTAATAATTTAATTTACTTTCAGCTGTGAAGATTGTGGAAAATCATTTGTACATAAAAAAGTATTGGACTCTCACAAGACCATTCACAGCGAAGAACGGCCATTTGTGTGCCAAACTTGCGGTAAAGCTTTCAGACAGCAAAGTGCTTTATGTATTCATAATCGATGCCATTTGCCTGAGACGATGAGGAATAAATTTCAATGCGATCAGTGTGATAAAAGGTAAATAGTACATTTTTTTTTTCAAATTACATTTCAGAAAAATTTTTGTATTAATCAGAAAATACGTTTTTTTTTTTTTAGCTTTTCGACAAAACCGAATCTTGTAACACACAAACGTATTCATTCTGGTGTCAGAAACTTCACGTGCGATCAGTGTGGCAAGAGCTTCATACAGAAAGGGAATTTAGAGGCTCATTTCCTAACTCATTCACCAGATAAGCCATATAATTGTTCTCAGTGTACAAAGGCGTAAGTAAAAACTAAAAATATATATTCTTTTTCTTTCTTAGTTCTGACCGCCCCGAAATAAAAGTATAATAAAATTGTAGGTTTAAAACGCCCCTGCAATTGAAGAAACATGAAACGGTGCATACTGGTGCCAAGCCACATCAATGTGCTGTATGTGGACGAACTTTCAGAGAGAAAGGAACTTTGAGAGAACATCACAGAATTCATACCGGCGCGATGCCGTTTACCTGTGAATTCTGTGGGAAGTGCTTCCGTTTCAAAGGGATATTAACTGTAAGCCATCATTTGCGGGATCCAACTCGCACTTTGGATCAATTTAATACAATCATTTCACAATCGTAGACGCACAGGCGACAACACACCGGAGAGCGTCCGTATAGTTGTTTGGATTGTCAGCATCATTTCACGAATTGGCCAAATTATAACAAGCACATGAAACGTCGACACGGAATCAACACTTCTCACACTAAGCATTTGACCAATAATCAACAATTGCAACAGCAACAGTCGACAGAGCAAACGCAGTCACCTCAGATACAACAGCAGTCTGCTGGAGAGGATCCACTTTCTATACCTCAGACAGAATCAACGACAGTACAAGTAAATATACATTTTTTTATTTGCTAAGTGCTGCTTGTTTCTTTGCATCACAGCTCTGGGTTAAAATTTCCAAACTTTCATTAACTGCTTTCGTTAACGAATTCTTAACGACATTGTCATTAATAGTTACAGAATAGGGTCTACTGAAATCGAACGCGGATCTTTTGCTTGATAGGCAACTGTTTTAGCATTGAGTTATTCAATACTGCACTTTATATGTAGACATTGATAATAATTAAAATTGGGAAAAATAATAAATTAAAACATAGCTTGCAATCAAGATGATCCAGACTGAATTGAAATATATGAGAAAACACGAATCTTGTTTAGATCAATTGTATACATCCGACTAACGTAAAGGATTACTTTAATGCTGTGTTTTTACAGGTAATACAAGCAGTTCCTCATGCCTCAGCATCACAACCGATAGTCATTCAAACTATTCCAACAACTACCATTCAGACCTTCCAAACGGACGTTAATAGTACTGTTCAAGAAACGGTATTCAGAGACCGTACTTTAACAAACACGTATTTTAATACAGCATTACAGAACATTTTGCCAACAAACTTGCCGTATAACTTTTATAGCATTTCTAACGTTACGGAGAATGATTTAATTCAACATAGATAAAAATGTTCGTTAAGACTAAGCATGAATAAAGACGATCATGTATTTGTGCCGATTGATGAAAGTTGGATAGCATGCGATGGTAACATTAAAATCAATACAAAATTTATATATTTTTCCAGAAATCCGAGATCAAACGGAAAAATCAATAATAATTTCAATTATGTATAAAAATTGAATTGAGTAATAATTTAAATAATTTCGCATGTAATCCTTTCTCGCGGAATCTAACAGATGAGAGATTGGCACGAAAACATGGGAAATAGTGAATGCATTATGTAAGTAGTATAAATCTTTTGTATAGAATACTATAGGACAAAAAACAGACAAAGTAACTGATTATATACGTTTTCTATTGTATTATTAGTATTGATTATATTAGGTTAAGAATTGTGTATATATACATATATATACTTGTTTAGCCACATTTATTATCAAATACACTTCGTGAACGCATTTCGTAAAAATTTTTCTAATAAAAATGTATTGTACTTCCAATTCATGTGTACTACGAACTTTTACATTCTCATGATATCCGTAATCTTTTTTCTCTAAGTTTCATGTAATCCATGTATTACATAATACAAGTATTTTACATTAATTTTTTTCATTACTTATCGAGATAATTGTTGAGTAAATGGCGCGAAACGCGCTCCTCTTTGTTCGATGACTAATTCAGCGGAGGGTTCTTCATCGAAAGGTTTAAAGCGATCACGCGTGGGGCTAATGTCAGAGGGAGAGGGGGGACATCTCACATCGGGCATCGGGTATCGCTCAATACCGTATCTATACGAAATCTGGTTGCACAAGCATTAGCGGTGACTAGCTGTCTTATTACGGAACGGAAACGTTAGTGAAACGTGTCATTGATAACGCATTTTCACACGGATAAACTGTTATTTTTGTCGAATAATAAAATAATTCCTGTACTTTTTGAAATACAGATCCTTACGGAAACTCCGGCGGATAACCTTGGATAACCTAAGATAATCGACAGCTGCTTATAGAATGGGTTTTCATAATGTCACTCATTGCATTTTCGACATGGACGGTTTGTTACTAGGTATAAAGACCCTCTCCCTCGGGATTCTCACGAATGATTTTCTATGATTGATTTTTGTATTAATTAAAATTTCATTTATTATGTCACTTTGCCGCTCTGCAACGTGATGATACATTTTTCAAATTACATTAATTCCTTTTGGCGGTGACATTGAGATCTTTACAGAAATATTTGTTTCGTAAACAGGAAGATAATTAATATTAGTTTCTCTGTATTGTATAGATACGGAATCCCTGTATACAATGGCATACAATTGCGTCACTCAGGAATATGGAAAAACATACAGCTGGGAGCACAAAGCAAAGATTATGGGTTTTAAAAGCGCCGAGGCCCTACAAAAAATAATAGATATGTTACAGCTGCCGATTACGGTGCAAACGTTTGAAGACAAGCTCGCTCCTATATATCAAGAAGTGTTTCCTGGATGCGATCTTATGCCGGGTAAGTTTTAAGAGATAATAATGATTTAGCACCGTATCCTGATCGATTTTACTCGCACACAGGTGCGGAGAAGTTGCTGCAGCATCTTAAAAAACATAATATACCTATCGCACTGGCTACAAGTTCGAGTGAGGACAGCAGCGATTTAAAAACCCAGAAGTGGAAACATCTATTTGACCTGTTCGATCACAAGGTGTATGGTGGTTCCGATCCAGAGGTCGTCAAAGGGAAACCACATCCAGATATATTTTTGATTGCCGCGAAACGTTTCCCTGATAATCCCGATCCTTCAAAGGTTTGTCATACATTCCGATGCATAATTTTATACGTATATTTTTCAAGTCAATTCAAGCTATATTAATCTGCCTGTATATAGTGCCTAGTCTTCGAAGATTCGCCGAACGGTGTGCAGGCTGGTATTGCCGCTAAGATGCAAGTGGTAATGGTGCCGGATCCTCAGCTTCCCGAAGACGTCTTCAAAAACGCTACCCTAGTCTTAAACAGTTTGGAAGATTTCAAGCCGGAGGATTTTGGACTACCGCCATTTGTAGCATAAAACTGCATATGCCTTAATTTGCGAAAGAGAGTATTAGACGTATTAGATTCAATTTATCGTATAGATAAAGCAGATAATTGTCGGCGAAAAAGAAACAGAAACCTGCAGGCAGGTTTTCCCACTGGCGAAGTACTGACTGATGTAAATAGGTTTTTGAAAAAAGAAAAAAAGAAAAGATGACACGACTATTATGTTCTGGAGATGTATATTTTCACATACAACATAGGAGAGTTATCACTGCCTGAAACCGAAAACTTACATCATACAGTTGGCACATATCGCATACAAGAGATCTCTGCAGCATATGTTTATTAATGGTATGAAGCGTATGAAGTTCCAGTCATCGTTATATCTACGTTTATTGATTTACTTATTGGGCGTTAAGTTTCGATGTCGGAACTTATCCTCTGATGTTCCTTTTTTTTACACAACAATTACATTTTATTTTATTTTAAGTTAAAGTGTAAAACGAATATTCTTAATATATAAAAATGATGGGAAAAAAGTAAATATTTTTTGCAAGAAAATGGCAACTCTGTGCATTTTTCTTGTCAATAATTTTTATAATCAAGTTACAAGTTTATAACCCATATATCTTCATCCAGCACACATTTATATGCATGAAAAAAAATTTCATTGATCAGATAAGATTCAATGGATTCCTGACAATGCGATCTTCAATCACCTTTCATTCAATTGATACAGCTATTTTATTAAAACACTATACATATTATGATACACATACTTATTAATATAATAAAGTATATCTATTTTTGAGACGCCAACTCTTTAATCCTCCCAAGTATCTCTTCGGATTTCAGGTTCGACAGAGGCACGCTACGTTCTACGCCGAATTCTGCAAAGTCGACGTCGTTTAGACGAATTTATGAGAATTAAGTGAATGATGACACTTGCGTTGGGACGAAGAGGAGAATGAAAAGCGAGCGATTTGTAAAAACCATCTGATATCGATGGGGATAAAGTGACGATGTTTTATACGTACCGTAACGCGCGTACAGTTTCGGTTCGATCGACGAGCATTCCCTGATCAAAACGGGAAACCTCGGATTATTTTTCTTCAACGATACATATTGCTGCTCGATGAAATCTCTGCAAGGTGCACACACAAAAGTTGACGAGACTGTAAATAAATTCGGATCGCAGATGGAACGTCGTCTCTACGATTTCTTTACCTAACGCCTTGACTAGATTTGGACGTTTGGCAGAGAAGGATCCTCAGCTCTTTCAGGTGTTTTCCAAATTTCACAGAAGCCATCTTCCAATCGTTAAAAACTTGGAAAAATACGGATCGCTCTCATCACAATTTCTAAACCTGTAAAATTTTGTGTTTTGATCAGGTTAAGTTAGAATCCCCGTTGTTATGTCATTGGATTCATGTAGTCGCCACCTGAATCCGCTTTTGTCCTCCGGAACCTCGTAACAGATTTTCCAATTCTAACTTGATCGATATGTTGATAAAATAGAAAATACAATTGAAAGGATAAAAATAGAATATATGGTTTATAACTGTAATTTCAAAAATTACTCCCGTTTTTTAATCATTTACTATATTTTCCCGAAATTTTTAAGAGAGTTAAATTTTTAATTTGCAGGAGGCAACTTTACTGACCATTGGTACTTCGCTCTGCGGAAATTAAAATTCTGAAAAACGAACACAATATATCAGTAAGAGATTATCAAGTAAGAGATGCCACGTTAAGTAAAAGTTTAAAAATCCTTTTAGAATTATATCGACTTTTGTTTACATTAATTTGTTAAACTATTTTATTTTATACCTATATTTTGAACGAACAAAATACCTATGTACATTTTATACATTCTCTGTCTCTCTTTTATCTTGTTTTCTATACATACTCATTGCATTGATATTTTTTTTCCTCGTTTGGTTCGCGCGCTCTCTCGCACTTTTACTCGCTCGATTTTTTACTCTCCGTAAAAAAAAGTAGAATTAATATATCTATACAATTATAATGTATATAGACGGTTATTATAGATAACGGCAATTGAACTGGATATCGATCCGGTCCTAATTCTCAGGTCAACGGACATACGTCAATTTTTCGCTCTTCAAGGGTTTCTGGTCCCCTTAATGAAAGAAGAACCGCACCCACGGCAAACATTCTTATAATTGCTCGCGTCGCCCCGACTGGCACCTATACCGTGTGTATAACGTGTGCGTACACACCTTCTCGTTGTTGCGAGTCTACGATATGCTTGAGGATAGGATAGGTAACGTTATCCGTAATAAGATATTCGGAGACCTCCAGAAATAACACATTTTTTTCTTAATCGCAGGTGAAGGCATCGATGACGCAAGGAAGTCTCTTTTCACGCAATTAAGAAATTCACTTCAGCTTATGAGCAAAGAACTTGTGACAAACAAAAACAATTGTTTCATCAGCCAATCTATATTTGACATTATTTAACGGAAATAAAGGTATGTATATTTGAAATAATCCTAAATAACCGTTCAATTCTTTTTTCGATCTTCCGTTCCTAGGGTCGCTAATTAGTAATTATATTAGCATGAATTTAATCCGGAACCTATTAATGAACTTTTTCACTTCTAAATAATATAATAAATATATATCGAAAACGGAAATATTTATCAAGTATTTATTCAATACATGCGTAATTTATGTTCGTACGATTTTTCACGGAAGAGATCGAATGCGAATTCTTATGGAAATGCTAAATTCTACAAATATTCCGAGGAGTCTAAAGCGCGATGTTTAATCGTTATTAGGTACATTTGGCGGAGCGTTCCAGCGGTCAATAACAATGAGACTCGCTAGGGCATCCCTTTGTGGAAGCTTAGGAGGCGAGGAGCGCGCTCGTGGAAGAAAAACGCCGAGCGCACCGCGTCCTGAGTGAGATCTTGATCGCGAGCACGGTTATTTATAAAATGTTCGCCGTTGATGGCCATTGAAGAGTAGTTATATTCGTCTGCAATTAAAGTAAATATTGTCCGAGCGATCACGCGCGGATTGACTTTTCCGCCTGACAGGTTCTCCAACAGCTTTCCGACGCGATGGCAAACTGGGATAACGAGTCAATTAAACAAATCTATCGTCCGTCCTGCCAAAAGTGGCTGTTTTGTTGCCACGCATATCTTAATTCTTTGTTGCTACGTGTGATTTACGTCGCGCACACGCACATGGGGGACCCACGTGAACAGGTGTATCTTTTTAGGAACTTTATTTAGATGGATAATTCATTTAGATTCGAGTTAATGACGCGTGAAAAGAGCTATGAAATTCAAGGGAACGATAGTACATCGACTCGCAATCGAGTGTTTTAACTGTTAACGTGAAAACATTGTCCCACTTTCTTATCTATTCCAATCTGATTTGAGCAAATCATCTTTTTTGTTTCAAAAATAATTTAATACAAAATAATAAAAAATTGTATTTAACTTTGAAACTCGATACCAAAATAAGAAGAAACCCTTTGTTGCATTCTACATAAATTTGATTTTAATCATGTTTTTACGGCGGTCCACTTAATGTACATACGTTGTAAATGTTCTCACAAAAGAAATCAAAGAGTTTCCGGGGATTGATCATTGCAAACGTCAATCGCGAAGAAAAAATTACATGCGTCCGTTAATAGAAAAAGATGATAAATAAATAGATACAGTGTAAGTTTGGATTCTTACAAATTTAATAACAATATACGGGAGTTGAGTCACACATGTCGCATTACGCGCTTACGAGACATTTATAATAGATACTTAATTATCACTGTGACGCAGGTGCATTCACGTGGACTAACGGGGCCGGCGATTCCCAATTGTGCGATCGGCGCGGCAAAGTGGGGAAGGATTTTCGGATCGCGCGATCGCGTAACGTAATATTTAAAGCGCCGCGACGACGGCACCGATCGATGTGTCGATCCATCGTCGTCGACGAGCGACGGTCTAAGGGAGGCCACCAGCGCGGCATCTCTGTACCACCCACGATCGACAGTCGCAGATTAGGCTTCCTCGCGACCGAATAGACTTGGTGCCTGCCTGTTAGCTGCTTCTGGTCCTGGAAATTTTTCAGGGCGCCGCATCATGGCCAGCCGCATCTCCACCGTCTCCCTCTCAATAGGTCAGTCTCGTAATTCAATACATTTTCAGCGGCATTCATCGATCAATGTCTAAGAAGTAATACAATCGAGAGATTTGCATTGTAATAGAGATGAACGTTATGCGCTCTAAATTTACTGAAAATTGATAATGTTTCAAAATCAAAAATTAAAAAAAAAAACATTTTTCCTTAAAACTATAAAGAGATTTTCGACTAATCTTAGAATTGAGATTAAACTTGGGATGTTTCACCGAGATCCCGTGAGACTTCAATGCGAGGGATGGGACAGGGTTGAGACCTATCTTCCATCTGTTTTCTCATTTGGCACGAATTCATAAGATGTGTCCGGGTATCGCCAACCGATTTGAGTCTGGTTGTTCAAAAATTGCTCCGATAATACCGTTTGCCTTTCTGCTTTGTCGCTTCTGCCTGGCGCCAAGTTCTCGGCTTGCTTTTCCACGCAAGCAGGAGAGTAAATATTTAAAAAACTTGGATATTATTTTCAGCAAAAAGTCGCTTTTCAATTTTGCAGCTTTTCAGCTTTTTTTTATCATCGATCGAACTCTTAACACATTTAATCTCGTATTAAGCATACTCCATGAACAATTGACAAATTAATTAGTAACATTATAACCGTTTATTATTTGTATATTTGTATATTTGTACATTTACACATTTGTATATTTGTATATTTATAACGTTTGTCAAGAGCTTGTTTCAAAATACTCCACGTTCACGTCGTAATCATTGTCGCTTTTACGTTTGCATTTTTCCTCTCCTGGAGCGATAAGTGCAATCGGCATTGTAGATTTACAGGTGTAACTTTTCTTTCGAGAGAAAAGCGTTAATTATTAAAACAGTTTGAGTTTAAAAATAGTTCTCACAATTGACGATTCACATGGTTCGGCGACAAATTGCCCTCGCCGTTACACCAATTGCGAGCGCAATAGCGAAACAATTCGCACAATTGAATGTAACATTTGTATTGTATTGTGCATCTCAATGGTATGCGGTGGGCAACATACTCTACAACAAACCTACGAACGCTGGTCTTGAAAATTTAATAAAAAAAAAACAATTTCGCAGACTAATTTGCATTCTATATTTGCAAGATAATTAACGAATTGTGAGAACGGAGCAGAAAGGCGCGGTCCACAAAAGCGCTCTTACGTCAACGCGCCGTCAACGTAGCGTTCGCGCGTTTGCATCAAACAATCGGAAAATAACGCTCCTCGCACGCGGCAAACACGATATTGCGCGTGGTTTTATTTCAACAAATACGGATGACGAAATAAAGAGGCGAATCCCACAATAACTTGGCTTAAAGTCGTTACACATTTTTTCACGTCTTTATCCAAAGACATCCCGAGATCTTGAGCAAATGCAAGAATCATTAGAACGATATACCGGAAGAATATTGTGCGAAAATTTGCTCTAACATTTATCTACGCAAATTGTCAATTAAAATTTTACGACAACAAAGCACGAAGCTCTCTTGAACGAACTTGGAGATGTTTGAGCAATGACACGGCGCATCTCTCTCGTGTTCGCGGTGTTTAAGTGCTCTTGATGAAATACGTATACGATTCGGCGGGATTTAATAAACTTGTCCGCTGCACGTTTAACAGTCACGTGTCCCTCCCGTTCGCGATATTAACGTACCTTTCCCGACGCGAATTGACAAACTCGTTCGACATATTTTTAATATTACGCAGCACGTCTCACCCCCGTGATTACGATATCGAAGTGTCGCTCTTGACGCAATTCAGAAAGACTTAATCAGGTCATGCCATGCATATTTAATGATTATCATCGGTATCGCCGGGGCAATTAGCAAAAGTCGGAAGCAAGCCGCCGTAATCCTGTTAGTCCGCGCAAATCTTATTATCTCTTCTCCCTCTATTTCAAATTAATATCTCCGCATACACGCGCCTAAGTAACATTGTTTAGAATAGTTTGATAGGAAAATAACTGAATAACGAAAGGAAACCGCCGTTATCGTTACGTACCACGTTGCAGCCAATCGTGCATAAATTTTCGAAAATTACAGATTATCGTACAATTATAAACAAAATTGATCCTTTAATACCTTTGTGTTTTCTCCAAGATCGCGTACCGAAAACGCACTTTTATCACGGAGAATTAACAGCTAAATATATCACGTCGTTACGAAACGAGTTGCGCATTGTTTTAATTTCACAATTTTTTTTTTTTACGAAGACGAAGGAACATTTTAAGCATGCGTAATCAGTTTGTGCGTGCACACAGGCGTGACATATCTCTGAAAATTTTGTCGCTTTATCAAAGAAACGGGACGCAAAGGGATATTCTCGAATGGATGTACGCCTGTTTATAAAACAATCTATTTTCTCCTCGAATCTTGCACGAATTCTCACGCGAATGCTCCCCGCGTACGTGAACAACGCGATACAGCCCGAATACGTGTTCACGGAGCGTACCGCAGATATCTCAGGTCTTATGCGAAGAGAATGCACCTTCAGACGTTTTATCGTTACAAGTATCGTGTTGGAGAATGTTTCTTGACGTATGAATTCAGGGGAATTTTTTTGCCTTTTAGAAAAGGAGACCAAGGATCATGGGGTCAAGGAAGGTACCATGGACTTTGAAAAGGCCATGGAGATATGTGGTGAGTCGTTCTTGTTGTGTAATCGTTAAATAATAATATTAACTAAATAATGTTGGAAATATATATTACAGAATAATTGCCCTATTAAAATTTGCTGCAATTGTTCCTAGGAAATGGAAGGTATCAATACACTTTCCTGCTGGTTTGCGGCATAATATTCATCTGCGTCGGCTGCCAGTATGGAGCAAACGCGTATATCCTGCCGTCAGCCGAATGCGATCTGAATATGAGATCTGAAGAAAAAGGATTGTTGAACGTCGCCTTTCTCATAGGTAAAATTTCGAGACACACGTCTAAAATCACAGAGCACTTTCTAAACTCGTGCACTTACATTCAAGTGCTTTAGATGTAATTACACATTTTTAAATTCCTATTCTCAGAACTTGCCTCGATCGCTGTTAAAGTCTCTTTATCTTAACGACGAATTAAGCATTGACTACGCGGGCGAGTTTTTCTGGCGGCGGCCCACTCGCGCGGCACACAAAATTAAAATTAATCCGCCGTTTTTCGTTCGCGCGAATGAAACCTCGCTGCTTCTTATCGCCGCGTAGCCGCAATTAAAGTTGACCAGAAAATATAATTTAAATCGGTGAAATCTAGTGACGATTCTGTCAATAGCAACGTTCAATTCTTGCTATTGTCTGCACTGCGAGATATAGCGATCTACGGGTATTTAAATTTTGTGCGAGAGCTTCTGATGATCAACATTATAAGACACATCTCTCAAATTTTTGCATATATTTTTCTTAAAATAATATAGATTAATTAAATATCTAATTCGCGCATGTTTGACCGTTTCAGGTTCGGTGTTCAGCGCTCTTTTTTGGGGAATCTTCGCGGGTGCTTACGGAAGAAGAAACATCCTGCTGCTAAATCTCTTCACCGACAGCATCGTTACACTAATCGCGAGTTTTGCACCAAATTTCAAACTGCTGCTAGTGTTCAGAGTCATAAGCGGATTCTTGTAAGTATACAACTGATGAAACGGCGAATGTGTTATAATGTCGTTATAATCGTGTCTTCGATATGATTTTTTGGGGCTCTTTTTAGGATGGGCGGGCCCGGGTCCTTGGTGTACACGTACCTCGGCGAGTTTCACGCGGAAAGTTACAGAGCGAAGAGCATCTGCTTCCTGGGCTTTTTCTTCACTCTCGCTTGGTTAATATTGCCTGGTAATGACTCCCTTTTTTACATTATCAATAAATACGAAACTCAGAACTGTATACTACTTCTTTAGAGAATGAGCTAAACAATCAAATGTACTACAACGCTAAGACGTATAGGCTACCACAATATTAACTTATTGAATCGTTTCATCTAGGTTTAGCGTGGATAATCATACCGTTGCCGATATCCTTCGATTTCTACGGCATCCGGTACAATTCCTGGAGATTGTTCCTTGGCTCTTTAAGTCTGCCAATTTTCTCTATTGCTGCAATAACTCTAACGTATCCGGAAAGTCCGAAATTTCTGGTGTCGCAAGGCAAGACTGACGAGGCGCTCGCGATTCTTCGAACGATCTACGCGGTGAACACCGGACGCGATGAAAGCGAGTTTCCGGTAAGTACCGAAAAGTAATTTTTATTCTTTAAATGACATCGTCAGATTCACTTAATTAATGCGACGTACCTAGGTGAAGGAACTTCTCTCCGAAGCCGTGTTCGAAATAGAGAAGGACAAGGCACCGTCTTCGTCGGATGTGCTAACGGAATTGCTGAAAAATATTTGGTGGCAATTGCGCACCATTGCATCGCCACCACTCTTCAAGTACGCTTTACTCTTGTGGACGATTTATTTCACCAATATGTTCGGGTAAGTGTCTCTTTAATTTTCTAGCTTTCGAAAGACTCGTACCTTCAATTTAATATTCTATATTCAATTTAACATATATATTCTGTTTAAAAAGTATTTAAAAAAAGAATTGTGCGATTTCGTACAAAATTTTTTAGCAAACAGAATTTCTATATACTAAACATACATTTCTCTTCCTTATTTTTATCACAATGTTATATATAATTAAGAATTTAACTGTTAATATAAATAAAGTGCTGTTTAGTAAAAAATATATATTTTATACATATCGTTAATATAAAAAGTATTTTTCTATCTTTTTCATCGACTGTTTTTAGGTACTACGCCTTTAATCTCTGGCAACCGGAATTGTTCAATCGCTTCGAGAATTATCACCAATCACATCCGAATGCGTCCGTGACAGTCTGCGAGTTGATACACGACATGCAGACGTTAAATCGCACTGTTACAGAGAAGCCGTTCCTCGTTTTGGCGAACGGAGTCACTACGGAGTGCAAGCCGCACATAGATCAACGGGTGTTCATTAACTCTCTGACGATCAACGCCGTTTGCCTGTTGGGCAATGTCGCTTCTGGCTATCTAGCAAATCGAGTTGATCGTCGAACAATGCCAGGTAAAAACAGAGACAATTTTTTAAATAATACTGCAGCTCGTTAAATATATGCTTGGGTCTAAAATTATCCCAGGTTTTTCCTTTATCTTTTTTTTAACAAAAATAAAATTTTTTACTTCTTTCCTCCAGTGACCACAATGCTGGTGGCTGGCGTCGCTAGCCTCGGTATGTACTTCGTGAAATCCTCGCTGCAGATCCTTATAACCGCGTGCATATTCTCCCTGATGGCGGCCACGGCGAATTTCGTGATTAGCAGCGTTGCGGTCGACGTCTTCCCTACTCACGTGTCCGCCGCCGCGGTGTGCATGATGGTGTGCTTGGGAAGGTTCGGCGCGATGACGAGTAATCTGGCGTTCGGCATGCTGCTGGATCTCAGCTGCGAGATCCCGATATTCTTGGTGACCGGTATCACCATAAGTGAGTATAATGAAATCTCGAAAAACTTTGATGGCACCGATATAATAAAATCAATTTTGTATCGTCCGAAGAGTCATCTTGATCTTTTTATTACTGGAATTTACCGAATAACTTTTCTAAAACTTGGACCTAACGGAATAAAGTTAATTTATGAATTTTAATGGTGCTCAATAAAAGAAAAAAATCCGGGGAGAGATTAAAAAAATGAATAATTGATCGTTTTCAGTTGGTTCGATGTTATGCTTCCTGATACCGAGCAAAGAAAAGAAGTGAAGTGTCGACGCTCGAGGAAGAGACCGACGTGTTAAATGTAAGAAGAGAACAATCTGAAGTGTCGAACGAAGTGTTTTTTGTGTTATTCTTTCATCAGATGCGAGGTTCATGCAGTCTAGATTTAGAATACGTGTGAGAGTGACTATACCGATCTGTAAATAATAATTGTAAGCATCGATCGACAAGTTCTCGGTTTCTTTGCTCTCGCACAAAAATCTATGTGCCTTTCATAACCAAAACGTTCAGTGAAATCACACGATGCTCAATGACTTATTTCCAAGTAATTTACTCCGAGAAGTAACTTTTTTTTCTTGATACTCGTTTGTATAGTTACTAGGAATTAAATGACGAAAACCATTTCCTTATTAGTCGTTAACTTAATATCGGCTCGTCAATGACGATCTGATTTCACTGATCGGTGATACATTCCATATCGTTTTATTACGATCTGACATCGTGCGCTTATCGACCAGGTCGTTTGTAAATAACTGTTCCAATATTTATTAACTCGTATTGCATATGCATGTGGCATGTAATACGTCGCGGACGCCACACAACGAGGCATCCGATGTAACGAGCGATTCTACGTCGCGATAATGTACATGTTAAAAATAAAATTGTATGACAAAGGGAAATAATTAGATTAATAGAATACTGTAATCTAAAATAATAATTAAAACATAGCATGGTAGCAATTAATGGTAGCTTCTTATTAATGGTAGCAATTAATTACGAAAGGGAACAAGATGATAGAGGACTGACATATATTGAAAGAGGATCGAATATTGATTTGAGGGATTCGAGGAAACGAAAACGAGAGGATGATGAAGATGAAGAAAAACGAAGGAAATAAAAAATGTATTGAAATAATTTGATATTTTTAAATGTACTAACATCGTTAATATAACTTGGAAAGGAATTTTATCATTCGCTTAGGGACCGTTTCTCCTTCCCCAGGGCTTGCTCTAGCATCAACTGAACTTTACTATAGACAGCGATCGATTTATCCCGTCGACTTAATCCGTCAGAAAATCTTCGAAGAAAACGTTAATCGTCGTTGCAAATAGAACAATATTAATGCGTTCGAAGCTGTGAGAATATTGATTGATTCTGTCTAACTAATGTCTAAACTTAATGTCTAAACAATTAAAACATTTTAAATTTTTAATAAAAGACTTTATTTTATTCCCTTTACTAATTTAACAAATTAACTAATAAACTCTCACTTTTATAAACAAACGTATGATTTTAATACGTTCTATATTACACTGCTAATCAACGAGAAAACAATAGCGATAAGTGCCGTCATCGGGTCGGGCCCCGTTTAGCGGAAAGATTACTATTAGCTCTCAAAAGTGACGAACGACAAGAATCTCGAGAAATACGAACGTTTATTTTAACATTGTTATGTGTCCGTTAATGCAAATTATGCTCTCTCAAACGAGATTTGACAATAGAGAGTCTTAAAATGCTGTTGCATACGTTTTACATTTCAATATATATGCGAAACTTTCTGCCGCATTTTGCGTTTGCATAAATTATTCAAATGAACATAATTAATAACTA